AAAGGTGTCCTGGCACCTCATCGATTAGCTGTGGCAAAACATGCAAACCTTACATGAACACCAGGCGGATTCTGACTACTAGGAAAAAGAACTTCCTAAGCTGCCTAAGAAGGTAGAAGACTCTCTTTTGTTAGGAGGTTGAATGATCATCTATCAGTGAGTCTAGGCCTATTCAGGTTTTCCTCTGCAAGTTAAGGGGTGTAGGATGATGAGGCCACACATGTTGGCCCTGCTCACACATCTCCATGCATCCTAGTACCTATAACCATGCCATATTGATTGGGCAGAACAGAACACTTCATTTGATTGAGTACTTAGAACATGTCACTCACATGTAAGCAACATGAGTAAAATGCTCCTTCACACCTTACTGCTCCACACAGCAAGGTCAGGAAGTGAGGAAATGGAAATATGCTTGCTTTTAATTTTGAAAAAGCACTTTCTTGTGGTGGCAAAAGCTGGTAGGAACAGTGAGAGCCTGCATAATTTCCTCAGAAGAACCAATTGCAGTTTTCCTTGTTTTTAGCTTTATTTAGCAAAAATACAGGGCTTAGATGAGGGTACATTTTTTCTCATACTTCTAGGGTTTTCCCACGTCCTATGTCAGCAGGCGCTGATTCTTGCAGTTTCACTTGGAGGTGCTTTAACAGTCAGAGTGACACTGTGGGTTATTTCAGTAGCAAAGGAAAATAGTGTGAGTTCAAATACATTTTCCTTTCCCATAATTGTGGGATAATTATTTCCCATAATTAACCACCGTCTGAAATATGATATTTGCCTCTGACCTGTTGATATCTTAAGTGATCTACCACTCTAATACTAGAAAACATATAGATGCTGGAAAGTTTATGTGTTCTTACGAGTGAATTTATGGGAATGCTTATTTTGTGCTGTCACTGCATTGCTGGTTTGACATGCTCTTTGAGGGTTGAGAAAACTATGTGCAGCAGTGTCCCAGACAAAATTTCTGGGACGAGGGCCAGATCTTTGACTTGTTAATCAGAATCCTAATCAAAAGAGAACAGAGAGGAGGAAGGGAAACAAGGGGGAGGGGGAGAACTCGATCTTTTATATAAAAGCTTGGCTGTTTTAGTTTAGAGAAACCGCTGCATGCTTTAACATCTTGTTTTCACATATCCACATACCTAAAATTTTTATTTATTTATAGTGAACACATCTGTTCCTCAAGTTGCAGAACTAAAGGAGAACATGACACTAGGATCAACTTTAGTAACCAACCCAAAAGGAGGTTTTTTGGTGAGCAAATGAATGGTTATTTTATTTTAAGTAAATAAGCTTATAATGGTTTGAATCCAGTAGCGCCTTTCTATACATGCTGAGTCCTTCTCTTTATGGCAAAGGTAGGGATCCTTGGTTATACAGAAAGTTTTGGGCTATGCGTCCCATCATATGCGTCCCATCATATTATGAATTTAAAAATTATTGATCACTGACTTTGCTGTTAGGGGCCAATGGCAGCTGGAGTCCAGCAGCATCGGTTCAGCGACGCATTTCCCACCCCTGGGTTTCAGAAAGGTCTTTCTCTTAATGGGAAGCTAGAATCCATCACAAGAGCCTTTGCACATGGAGAGACACAATTATTGTCAATGTCTCCTTCTCCCTACACGTGGCTTATCCATCTCGCATCCTATCCTGTGGGGGTGCCCTGAGCATATTTTCAGGGGTTGCAGTGGAAAGTATGGGAGAAAAAGAGGGAGTCAAGATGCAAGATGTCCTCATTCCATATTTAGAATTCTGCTCCCTGAACATTGAATTAAATGGATTACTTATATTGGTAAAATTCCTGGAAGGGGGACGCTTGTTTTGGTACGAATAACCAGTTGATGTTCCACATGAGTCCAGGAGCCAGGTCTCTTTTCTCACACCAATCTGTCCCAATATACAGTCATGAGTGACTCCATATTGAAGTTGGTGCTGATGGGGCAGTACTAGCCAGAGATGGGGACTCGAGTCGCAGGACTCATTGTCAAGTCAGACTTAAATTGCACCGCTGACTCGACCCAGACTTGAAGCGGGTTTTTTTCAATGACTCAGATTCCACCTGAGAACCCACCCATCCCATCCCATTGCACCGCTGACTCGACCCAGACTTGAAACGGGTTTTTTTTTTCAATGGCTCAGATTCAGCCTGAGAATCCACCCATCCCCTCCATTTTTTTCTGGGGGAAAAAGCTTATTTTTAGTAGGGACTCAGACTTGGGGTTTGGGGCTCAAAATGTGGTACCAAAGACTTGGACTTGGTACCAAAGACTCAGACTTAGTAGTCAGACCCAAAGACTTGTCAACATCTCTGGTACTAGCTGGGAGATTTCAGGAGCTCTAAGGCAAAAACTAGTAATTTTTCCAAGCTCTAGTTTTACATGGCCACTTTTAGTTTCAGCAAACATCTTTCCAACCACTGAGGGGTGGGGAGATTATGACAAAGTTAGTGTCATTGTTTAAACTGCAGCCTTTTTTCCCCCTTCTTCAAGGCATGTGGGCCTCTTTATGCTTACAAATGCGGGCGTCTGCATTACACAACTGGCATCTGTTCCAACGTTAGCTCCAGTTTCGAGGTTGTCAACTCCATTGCCCCATCTGTTCAAGGTGTGTATATAAGAAGGCTGCTTTTGTATGTGTTGAAAGTATTGAGCATCAAGGGAGAGACAAATGTATACACAGAGTCATGCCAGAAGCACACTCAGTTTGTCAAAGCTACCAGCATTACCAAGTTAAGTAAATGTTATCATTGTCCGTATACTACTCAACTGCTTGCTGCCTCTGGAATCCACGTTAGCCTAAACAGAATTGGGGATGTGATCTCACGAGTGCAGCATGGGCTAAAAATATTCCCCACAGAGTCATAGTGAACTAAATGTCTCTTTAGATCGAGAGAAGAAAGGACTCAAAGCATCTTCGCAAACTTCCTTTCTTACCTCTTGTTCTATAACCAGAGACCAAGAGCTCCAGCCCAGAGTTTCTGCTCGTGTTTTGACTACACAATGACAGTTTGGTCAAAACAAGGCATAGCCCAGCACCAGCAAAGAGTGATTTGAACAAGCTGGGCTCCCCGTCAGGTGCTAACCGTGCTTGAACAAGTAACTTTTTGGACTGGAACTCTCAAAATCATCCAACCCCCATGGTCGCTAACTGAAACGGTAACTTTTTCATGTCCCAAAAAAGTACTTTTTCCAAGGTTTAGATGCCCATAAGAAAGACCTTTTGAAGTTGATACAGTACTCCTAAAGAAATGTACAGAGATTCTCACCTTGGATCTCTTGCATCCTCCCTATCACTCCGTCAAAGAATCTGAGTCTCACTGTGGTACAGTAGCCCATTTTCCCCACAAAGAGCTTTTTGTCTTTGTTTAAAGCATTCTCTTATATTTATCACTTATGTTAAATCAGTGGACAGGAAGAGCAGGACATTAGGAGAAACACTGAGTGCTTTTTGTCCAAATCTGATACTCATAGCATGCCTAACATATGTGCTAGCAGAAGACAGTTGCATGATTGTGAAACACTTTTAAGTTCTGTGAGGCTGTTTGCTCACTTACATATTAATGAACACTTACATTGATGAACCTTACAAACACAATTTCACAAAATGAGTCTTTTCTTATTTGCAGTTATATAACAGATAAAATGAGCAATTAGAACAACAACAAAATGCTACAATTTGTGCACGCAGGTCCTGGGCAACAGCACCAATACAGAAGATGCTTTTAGAATTGCAAAGTTCAAGTGTCGCTTTGAATTCAAATTAGATTAAAAATTCAAGACATCTTCCTCAACTGGGTTGCATATCCAATACAAAAAAGAATGAGCTCCACATGTGGATTCTTCAAAATCCTAAAATATAATATTGATTCAGTTTTATGAAATTAATGAATTCACTATGTGGAATTGCCCCTCTTACACATAGGAACCATACCTAGACCAAGTTGTTAAGGCCCTTTGCAGTTTTGGTGGCAACAAAAGCTTTAGCCTCTTCAGCAATCCTGCTCTTTCTGATTCAAGTATCTTATTCACAGCCTTGCTCTTTTTTAGTCCCACCCCTTTGGGCTGAACCAATATTCCTTAAGGGTTACAAGTACTTGTTAGCAATCATCTTAGCAACAATTTAGGAAAAAGCTATGTTCCATGTAGACTATTTCCATGACCCACTCAAGCATCAAAGTCAAACAACAAAAAAGACATTTAAAAGTACCAGAAGAAAGTAAGTACAGCACACACTGCTAAAAGAAACTTTCTCAGCAGCTATTCATGTATTTAAGGACTTCACTCTTCACCTAATCGTGGAAAGGCAGCAAGGAGCAAGCTAGCCTACTTGCACACAACCTGACAGCAGTTGCTGAGCCTCTGTGTAATCAAGAGCTTCAGTTACACAGAGAAGCTTAACTGCATTCAGCTGCAAGTGTGTAGATTCCCCTTCACATTTTCCACCCAATGTGTGAATGTCTGGAGGAAGTGCTGGTGTGATGCTGAAGGTGGATTTAGTTTATGTGACTCTGCTCCCTTGTTTTTTCAATATGTCTAGTGCAATTTCTGAAGTCTGCTCACATGGGATCATGTGCTAGTTTTAAGATCTAGCCTGGGCCCTCTTTTAGCAGCAGCAACAACAACAAGGTCCAGTTCCACTGTGGTATTGTTTGAGCTCTCTTTCACTGATGCCTCCAGTTATTAAAAAAGAGGGGCATTATATCCATTTCTGTATTATTTATCTTTGTTCTCACTTTTGAATTTCAGAAATAAAAGGAAGATCATGAGAATTTTTACACTACCTCCAACTGTTGAAATACCATCTGAACCAAACTTTTATGACAGTGTGAAAAAAGTTTGTTTACGACAGCAGTTAGAGATGTATTCTATTGCAAGAAAATATGAGCTGCAGCAGCAACCACAGAAACAGACTGATAGTGTACAACTTTTGGTGGAATGAAGTCTTGAATTTCTGAAGTCAAGAAACAGTGTTGAGCTACTTGAATTGTAGAGTAAGAACAATAGACACACAACAGTTCTTGGAAAGCCAGTGTGTTATAGTGGATAGACTGGGGTAGGGGGTCAAATCCCCATGTTGTCATGAAAATTCACTATGGAGTGGCAATGGAAAAGCACTCCTTGTAACATCTCAGATACTTTGAAAAACATATTAGAGTCACTATATGTGGGAATTGACAACAAATTCCTGGAATGTTTTTGTTCAATCAGTGCTGGAGTACATCTGAAAAGCAGGCAGAAAGTTGACTTTGCTGGTTTTAGGAGAATAAGTTTTATGAACACGTGGTGACTCTACTCCTTCCCTCTTTATTTCTCAGTTCTGCTCTTTGGCTGAGGACAATTATAAGTACTGCAAGAGGAACCATCTTTCTTTACTTTGTCTGAGTTGTCCTCTAGGAGGTTGGAACAGCTATTTTCTGAATAGGTGTAACATTTGATCTGGTCCCTAATTTTTTTTTCTTGCACATGTGAGCCATCGCAACTATAAACATCAGTGTAATGTGAGACAGCCGAGAAACCACAGATATTGTCGACTTCCTCTAAACAGACATCCTTTTTATTTATTTATTTATTTTTGAAATTCAAAGGCATTTCCTGCCGGCCAATAGCTATGACATCTTGGGTCATGCATTTTAAAAAAATATTTTCATTTATTGCTTCTGCAGTCACATACACTGGAATGTCCATAATGACTTGCAGTGAGTTAAAAAAAAAACACACACACACAAACATCTTGACTAGCTCTTAAGGAACACCAGTGGAATGGAATAGGGATGCCAGTTCCCTCTTGTCCTGTCCTTGCAGACAAAAATAAGGAGCATTATTATCCTGGTATGCTGAAGAGGGCAAGGTATTTTGCTACACTCTTCAGAGAAAGAGAACATGGATCATTTTTTGCAAGTAATACTTCAATGCAAATAACATAGATTGGGCAAAATAACAATGGTTGCTCCATCATTGCACAGACATTGAAAGGGTTCAGAGCATCAGAAAGGGTTTTCCGTCTTGTTCAGCAATCAGAACGACTTATGTCTCTCTGCACAAACTCCCACAAGTATTAAATCCTTAGGGGAGTGTCTTCTCTCTGTCCCACCATTTCCACAAGCATGCCTGGTGAGGGCTCAAGAGATAGCTTTTTTGGTGACATCTCCCAGATTATGAAAATTGCTTCCTCAGGAGGTATAGCTGGTCCTTTCCCTCCTTTTCTTCCACTGGGAACTGAAAAGACCTCTTCAGAGAGACCTATGGGAAAGCAGTAGACAATTGCTATGGAGACCTTCTTTAAAATCTGAGTTATGGTTTTTAAATTATCTTTTAAAATGTTGGTAGGTTGCAGTTTCAAATTCTAACTGGCATGCTTTTAATTAATTGTGGATTTTAAGTCTTTTGGTATGCCACCTTGGTTCCCCACTAGGGAAGAAAGGGGAGAAAAAATTAGCCAAACGAACATACCATTTTTGGAGTCTACTCATTCACATTAAGGCTGCATGACTTTATTTGAAATTAAAGGCTGGGTGAGTTTGTTGCAAGCCAAGAGGCACAGAACTAGTTTTGTTTGAGCAGAAAAACACTGCTGGGTTCATTAGGCAATTCTTCATCATCCAACTGTTCATTTTGCAGAATGTAAGACCCAGCTGGACATTGTCATAGTTCTTGATGGCTCCAACAGCATTTACCCCTGGGAGAGCGTCACCGATTTCTTGAACAGTCTGCTTCAAAATATGGATATAAGTCCACAAGAGACACAGGTATAGTGAAGCAAATATTTTATCCTTTCTGTCTTCATGACAAGGGAGAACAATTTAAGGCTGCCATTCATACCCAAGCCGTTTAGGGCTTTATATGTCAAAACAAGCCCTTTGAATTGGGCCCGGGCAGCAACTGGTAACCAATGTAAATGTAAAGTTGTACCACCCACCTGGTTACAAACTGCCTATGCATTTATATCACATTTACCATTGTTTTCTTTTCAGTAGCCATGTGAAAGATTGCACTGTAAACTACAGAATCAAGGTTATTTATCAGAAATATGCAGCAGCCCCCAGATTCACTCTGTGTCCAGACAAAGATAGGCTGTTAAATGCCTGATCCTCCATCTGACCTTTTTTAAATGATATTCTGGCTTGATTTCTTGTCCTGCTTCATGATGGCATTTGTGTGGACAAATGTGCAAAAACAGAGTGAACAATGAGGTTGCCTGGAAGTTGCAAAGAGATGGCCACCCATCGTGCAGAGCAGGACCCCAAGGATCTTTCATGTTCTGCCCCCCTCCCCCGTTTATAAAATTTAAAACCTTTAACCAGAGATGCCCAGAAATGAGGAAATGGAAATCCAAAAGACTGAGTTATAGCATCAAAGGAGGAGGCAAATGACAGCTAAACTCCCAAATAAAGCCCAAGGAGTCACCTGCACACTCCAATCATTGATGTGTTTGGGAGGGCTCAGTCTGATGTCAAGGTACACTATATGTTCCCTTCCAGGCATGTTGCACAGATGTAGGCAAAATTAAAGACATGTGTTGTAGTTCCTAGGTGGGATTTGTGCGGTAGAATTCCTAATTTCTTTCTTCTCTTGGTTAGTTTTCTGAATAGTTTTCCTCTAGAATCAAATATATGTGTGACTGCGGATGAATGCTTGCATTTTCTTGTGTGGCCTTTGACTAGGTGAAATATGGTCAAATATTAAAACACAATTGTATTTAATATAAATACACACAATTAAAAAAACACAGCAACCAACAGGTAAAAAACATCTTCCTCTGCCAACATTTCATTGCAATCATCTGCCTAAATAAAAAGATCTTTGTTGGCTAATGAAAGGAAAACAGGGACAGCCCAGATCTCTCTCTTTCTCTCTCTCTGACTCACACACATACCCATTAAAACAGTCGTGCTGACTCCCAACTCTTTCCAAGTACAATCTCCAAGTGGAAATTAAAAGCTTAAATGGGTTATGTGATCACATTACTGGAAAGATGATCTTCTTTAATATGAACTAGCTTGCCCGTGTCCATAGGGCTGATACTAATATGCCACCAACAGAATCTTTAGTGGTTCGGGTGAGTGAGTCATCTAGGAGGTGAGTAACCTCTCCCTAAGTTTGAAGGAACTGGAACTACATTAAGATCCTCAGGGAATGGAATTTTCAGGTGGTGAGAAGTTAATTGTCTAATGAAGTGGCTGAGTGGGATCCAGTGATGGCCTTCTACAAACAGAACGGCTTCCATCATCAGACTGCTCCCAGAAAAGGGACAGTCCCTGAACGCCTGTTTACTGTCTAAATCTGTTGTGAAGGGCTAGGAAGATTTTTAGGTGGTGTGGAGGGATAAAAATATATCCTTTCACACTGACAAGAGTCTGCTAGTGTGAGTTAGGACTCTGTTGTAGTTGTTTTCCTTTATTCCCTTAAAAAGGAAAAGCAAATACCTGTATTCTTCAGCTGCTTGTCTCTTAATCTAGTGTCTGCTTTCTAAAAGGCTCTGCAGACATGCAGGGAGGAAAAAGATGGGTCCCTCATGCACTTTGCCACAGTTTTCCCATAATGCCATTGAAAAGATACGGTAATGTGAGAAACATCAACTGCTGTGTGCTCTCTCTCTCTCTCTCTCTCTCTCTCTTTCTCTTTGTTGAGAGTTGTAATTATTTCAAAATTCAGCTAAAATTGGAGATTATAGTGTTTCGGATCCACAAACTAAGTCTTGCAGGACTGTTTTCATTTCATCACCGCAGTCCTCATGTTTCTTTCAGGTGAAACTATAAAATTAAAGTAGTAATAATATAATTTTTGAAATGTTCATAACCATAAGACAGCTCTACTGTTTCCCTCCAGTTTTAACACAGCTTCCGTTTCTTATTTCAAATGGTGTCCGTGAATGTTAGTAAACAAAGATATTTGTGCTAAAAGGGAGAGGTTATAAAACTGATTGAGAAGCACATTGGTAAAATCTAAAATGCAAACCGGTCCAGCTATAAAAGGATACGACTAGATAAAAACTGGAGAGGCCTCATTGATTTTCAATGTCTTCATCTCAGCAGGCTTTTAATAATAAATGAGTCTATGATAAATATGCCAAATCAAGGTATATTGTCACCCTACAGTTGGGCTAAGCAGTGTAGTCAAAATATCAAAGCCAAACATAAACTTGAAATATGCTAATGGAACATCGTGTAGATCACCCCTAGTCAAGATGAACTTCCCATAACATAAAAGGAAATGCGATATTTTTAAAAGGTTCTTTTATTGGAAAGTTGCCTAGCTTTTTCCCCACTTTATGTTTCTATGAAAAGTGCATGCATAGTTGTGAACTCCATGTGTAGTGTGTGTTTGAGGAGCACACACATGTACAACCGTTCTGTTAAAAGTACAGCTAGGGTGACTGTGTATCCTCCTTTACAGAGGATACAGCTGCCCAGCTGCTGGTATGTATCATCAAGTCTCTTGATGATACATACCAGCAGTTATGTGAGACTGTGGCGCTCACCCTCGTGTCCCGTTCTTGACCATCAAAACTCAGAGCACATGAAGGCAAACAATCTCCTCTTTTACACTGCTGCCACCAGGTGATCACTAAATCACCATTACTTCGGGAAGATAAAGATTCAGGTCCACACTTCAAGGTCTTTTAAATAGAACTTTTGTTTATTGATTACAGAAATTGAAACTGATTCATGAATATCTTCTTTAGCTAAATGTATTATTAACAACAACCTTCTATTTGATAATACACTCCCAAACTCCACACTCTATCTCCTTCTCCCTTCTCCCACCCTACTCCCACTACCCCCCCCCTTATCTCCGGCTCCACCTCTTATCACATATCCCCCAGCTCCGCCTCTCAGCAACATGAATATGCATGAACAATTAACATAACAAAACATGAACCCTTGACATAGTAAAGGGGAATGCTACAGAGACATTCAAGGGCTGGATGACTACTATCACCTTCAATTGGGTTTCCATAGCCAAAGCTTTGAACCTAAGTCTCCAGAGTCCTAGACTAATATTATTCTGTCCACTGCAACACTGGCTCTCGGTTCGCCAGCAGAAGTGGGATAAGAAAATGAAGAACCAGGGAGAACCTTCAGTCTTTTTTTCAAAAGTCCACTAGCCGTAGTGATCGATTTCCTCCTGCCACCTGAAACAGGAAATGAAAAACCACCAAAGCCCCTCACCTCAGGAACCTCATTGCTTTTGTTTTTTATCTCCTCAGTCAGCAGTACTCTTTTAAAAAAACCTCATTGCTTTTGTTTTTTATCTCCTCTGTCAGCGGTACTCTTTTTTAAAAAAAATATAAACTACAACATAAAATACATAAACCAAAATGCAAATCAATTGCATTCCCTACCATCCCATTGCTAACAGCACAAGATACCCTCTTGGAAAAGTGAGACTGAAAATGGCTGCCAAGCTCTGAGGAAAGCAGCATTTAAACCAAAATGCAAATCAATTGTGTTCCCTACCACCCCATTGCTAACAGCACAAGATATCCTCTTGGAAAAGTGAGAATGAAAACGGCTGCCAAGCTCTGAGGAATGCAGCATCACCTATGCAGAGCAGCAAATGCTGTTCTTTGGAGAGCCACCTCAAATACCATTTTTCTGATCCACCAGACTCAGGGTACTATGAGGAATTGTTAGCCACAGCCCACAATTGAGTTAGGATTCCCTTGTGGCCATTATAGTGGCCGGGTTTAATTGTCAGTTTTGATTTTATCATAGTTGTTCATTTTTCATATGCTTTTTGTATGATTTGTGGTTTTATGTTTTATAAAATCACCTTGTTGAATGGCTGAATGAATAAAATAGACATAATGCTACACTTAAAACACTTACAGTGAAAGGGAAGTGGTTTACACCAGAGAAAGGGAAGGCAGTAAATGCATGACCCTTTGGTTTTTTCTTCAATACTTTACTGTGGACAAAAGATAGCAAAATGTATTTCTATAAAGCTTGGGTGCACTCCTGGACTGAATCCTGAGCTTGAATGCACAGGTTTCAGAAGTGGCCATTTGCACAGTTAAAGCTGGTGTGCCGGCTGCACCCATTCCTTCAGATGTCCGATTGGGCCACAGTGACACATACCTTAATTACATCTCAATAGGATTACTGCAATGTGCTTTGTATGGGGCTGCCTTTGAAGAATGTTCAGAAACATCAACTGATTCAAAATGCTTCAGCCAGACTGCTGACTGGCACTGGTTATAGGGAGCTCTTATCACAATGGCTTCACTGGTTACCAGTCTGTTTCCTGGCCTAATTCAAAATTCTGATTGTTACCTATAAAGCCTGATACACCTTGGGTCCAGGCTATTTGAAGGATTGTATAAGCCCATATGAGCCTTCTTGGCTTCTAAGATCTTCTGGGCAGACTCTTTGCTACCTGTTTTTTTTTTGGGGGGGGGGTTGTTTGTTTTTTGTGTGTTTTTGTTTTTTGCTGTCTGATGCTCAATAGCAAATGGTGCTTTGTATTCATTTGATTCAAGGTGCATAATAATTAAAGCCGGCCAAATTATTCTAGTGTATGAGGTAGAAAATCCTGCAGATGCTTCTCTCCATTTCTGGTAGTAAAAACAGAAATATAGGAAATAAATAATATCTGCTACCTTTCCATGATACCCCAGACCTCCTGCCTGTTTAAGACAATTCATACTGCCTAATGGTGGGCCTGGCCAAACCTTGAATATATTATTGATTTATGAAATTACTGATTTTTTCTTAGAGTCAATGTGAATTTGTTTTGTGTTCTGATCATCATGTGACCAGTATCTGTAGTTCACATAATATTTCGGAGTTTAATCAAAATATAAAGAAGGTCAACAGTCATTGGCTAACAGTAACAGTAATTCACGAGGGGCAAACTGTCATATGAGCTATAGGGTGGTTTCGGTGATTTAGCCCTCTAAACCACAACAAAAACATAGCAGGGAAGCATATCAGACACCACACATGCACACAAGAAGACAAAAACAATGTGACATTTTGAAGACTAACTGTTATATTTTAATGTAACAGTAATGTAATGTAATGTGGAACTTCACCTACTTCTTCAGATATATGCAGTGGAAAACAGAGATCTCACAATAAAGCATTCTTGAGAGACAGTGTTGTAAGGCTGCATTTCAGGCATACAATGATTTATTACCTCCATGCATTTTTTTTCAGTTCTTTTGAAGTCTGATTCTGTAAATATTTCAACAAGAGACACAAGGTCAGACCAAAAGAAAAAGGGGAAGGGGGAGAAGGAGATTGTGGCACTTTAAAGACTAACTATAAGCAGTGACATGATTAAAGGAGACAATGGAGGAATGATCTGTGTTAATATATAGAATGATAGACTTTACCTTTGAGCCTTATTTTGAAAGATGGGTAGTTGTGAAGGAAAATAACAATAGATAACACAGCATAATTACTACATTTGATAATGACTTAAGAAACCTTGATTGATATTCAATCCATTTATATAAGTGACCATCATGTGTATAAATAGTTGGGAAGATTATTATCCTGAAAATTATGCATTACAGGTTGGGATTGTTCAGTATGGAGAAAATGTAACCCATGAATTTAACCTCAACACATACAAAACTACGGAAGAAGTACTTGTTGCAGCAAAGAAAATTGGTCAGAGAGGGGGGCGCCAAACTATGACTGCTCTTGGCATCGATACAGCAAGGTAGGTGCATGTAATGTTAATAAAAGAGAATCAATGAATTAGAACCCTTAGTTCACAAAAGATTCATAGCTACTTCTTACATAACTTCTCTCGCTTTCTGTGTCTTTTCAGAAAGGAAGCTTTTACAGAAGCTCGTGGCGCACGCCGAGGAGTACAAAAAGTAATGGTTGTTGTGACGGACGGAGAATCCCATGACAATTATCGGTTAGAAAAAGTGATTAAGGATTGTGAAGAAGAAAATATACAGAGGTTTTCTATTGCTGTAAGTGAAGTATGGTCAGAAGATATAAACATGTCTGAATGATTCTGCTTGCCTTTACTTTGAATTTGTTCTGGGGCATAATGCATTTACTAGATCAGTAGCTCTCATCCCTTGACCCTCCTGATGTTTTTTGACTTCAGATCCCAGAATTCCCAACCACAGGCCATATTGACCAGGGCTTTTGGAAGCTGAAGTTCAAGACATCTGGAAGACCAAAGGCTGAAAGCCAATGCATTTGTTGGCAAACTTTCAAGGGTATAACAGTAAAACATATGCAATATTTGTACAGTGCTTGTTATACATGTTCTCGATAAAACAACCCTAGAAACTGAAACACTGTTACTGTATTATATTCATATTGTAAGTAAAGGGCTAAGGCTAAAACAAGAGACAGTAACTGCTAAAGCCATCTAGTGGCTAAGACAAAATATGTGTTTCTTAGTCTATGGCTTACTGTCTATCTTAGCTACTCCACCAAGCATACTGTAAAAAGCTATCAAGTTTGATAGAGACCAGAGCATGGAAAAGTAAAGTTTCCAAGCCCCCAAACTTCTGTTTGTTTGTTTGTTTGTTGTTTGTTACACTTTTATAATGCACCATTGGCCTGGGGCCACAGACATCAACAATTCTGTAACGGACATCATACTTTTCCTGCTTGACCAGTTTGCCAGGTGAAGTTTTATCTTAGCTGTACATTGCAATTTGACATTTGGTGCGGAGGGGGGGGTGCTGAGCTATAAGACAGAAGTTTTCCCTCTCTGGTTTTTGAGTGCTACTGTTTCTTCTGTGAGATTTCAGAACCACTGAGCCCTATCCAAGCATTCAGCCTGAAAGTGTGTAGGGCTCAAAGAGCAATGGTGACATGGGGAGGTAAAGAAACCCATTTCCAGGTCTACTCCCCACTTAGGAGTCATGCAGACAAAGGCTGCATAGGCATTGTACATGGTTTTAGCTGAACGGGCTTAGAGCATTTCCATGATCAGCAGCCCTGATCATGGAAATGCTGTAGCTCCATTCAGATGAATGTGGTTTTAGATGGCTGTGCAAACTTGACTTCCAGTTGGGGAGTGGGCATTTGAGTTTATCTACCTGTTCTCTATCCCCACCACACTTTCAGCATATGCCCTTTCAGCAAAAACAGCTGAACAGCACTTTTATTAATGTGCTGCTGCAGACTAATGCAGCACTGAAAGCTTTACAAACATGGGATTTGTATGCTTGATCAGGAACTCTGATTGTTCTAAATATGTGTATGCTAGTGATGTGGTATGTCTACTTGCTGTGCCCCTGCCCCCCCCACCACCACCATGTGTCCCATCTCCAAATCTTTTTGCTTTTCACAGGTAGGAGACTTCCTCTGTTTTTCTTCCTAGGCTTTTGTCTAGATTCTATATTATTTCCTGTTTTTGAAAACAGTTGTGTTTTCATTCACTGGTAATTGTTTGAATGTTGGGTAGCTACAACCTGGCATAGGATCAGAGGATTTCAAGGACCATAGGGTTTCAAAGATTATAGTTCAGCTCATGTAATTTGGTCAGGGAGATCTCTTGTAATGGAAAACTTGTGAAAGTGATACAATTAGCCACAGGCTTCTCCCAGTTTTAACATGCACAATAATGAACCCATTAAGCACATTTTATTAATCTGGATTTTATAGTTTATTGCTATTGTCAGTTGTCCCTGATGTGAAGATATCTTTGGGAAATCCAATTATTTTCTGTAGGAGGTCTATTATTTCCCACAGTCAGAAATTCCTGTAGAGCAATAATGACCAACTATCTGTTGCTTATAACCTTTTGTTGATGCTCTTTTGACTGTATATTGTGGGAATGTGAGAACAGCAGTCCAACTTCCTTTTTATGTAGTAATAGGTTATCTCAGAAATTTTGGAAGTTTTAGAAGAGGTAACCATGCTAGTCTGTGCTAGCGTATCTGGTAAAAATAAAAGTATTTAAAAGAAGAAGACAAAGACATTGTGGCACCTTGAAGACTAGCTGCTATATTTTAATGTGAGCTTTCATGGAGCTGTCCACTTCCTAAGAATTTCGTTTTGGATCTCCATAGGTTGGGTCCAGACCTGAAGCATGTTCAAGCTAGGTTGACCCGAATCACTCCACTCCAGGGACAGCCCCACCGTTAGGCAGAGAGAGGCAGCTGTTTCAGTATGCAGGTACAAAGGAGGCAGCTGGTTCTCCTGAACTCCATAGCAGTTCCTGTCTGCCTTTCACCCATGAATGCTCCAGCTGCTTCAGAAGTTGTGGGGGATGCTATCCTGTCACCCACACTGAAGTAAGATTCAGCTAGTAGTCTAATCAGTTTGTGCATGAAGAATGACAGAGAGAGGGACAATTTTGTCATTTGCCACAGGCAGGAATAAACTTGGGCCAGCTATGGTCCACTCATACAGTTATGCAGTATCCAAAATAGCTCAGTCGTTTAAGTCAAGGTTGGAAATTTGATTCCCCACTATGGCCTCCTGACAGGGACTGGACTAGCTCTGCAATCCTAAGGTGATGATTCCTTTCGCATGATAATACCTTCTAACTGTCTTTATCTCGTACATTTCACACATGCAATGAACTGGAAGCTACAGAAATGTTTTCCTAAAACCTTGGAACTTTATATGTCTTTCTGGCTCTCCCCCCCCACCCCCAACTCCATAGATCCTTGGTCACTACAATAGAGGAAATCTCAGCACTGAGAAACTTGTTGAAGAAATCAAATCAATTGCAAGTGAACCAACTGAAAAGCATTTCTTTAATGTCTCGGATGAATTAGCTCTCCTTACTATTGTAGAAGCTCTTGGAGAGAGGATATTTGCCTTGGAAGGTATGTCTTCTATGTGTTGCTGTTGCTTTTATATGCCATTAAGTCACTTCTGATGTATGATGACCCTACGAATGAGCAATCTCCAAAATACCCTGTCCTTAACTGCCCTGCTCAGCTCTCATAAGCTTAAACCTGTATTTTCTTTTAGGGAGTCATTCTATCTCATATTTGGTCTTCTTCTTTTCCTGCTGCCTTCCACCTTTCCTTGCATTAATAGTTCTTTTTCCAGAGAATCCTGCCTGCTCATGATATGCCCAAAGTAGGACAGCCTTGGTTTGAACATTTTTGCCTCCAGAGATAGTTCAGGCTTGATTTGATCTAGGACCCACTTGTTCTTCTTTCCTGCCGGAAAGGGTATCTGCAGAGCTCTCCTCCAGCACCACATTCCAAATCAATCATATGTTTTTTCCGCTTTTGATTCTGTCGGTTTTCCCTGTTCCTTTCATTTTAACATGTTCCAGTACAGAATTTGTGGTACAGAAACAATGTATGGCAGCTTTGGAATTTCTCTTCGTTTCCTCAAGATTTAGCATTAACTTTCCTCCTTCACAAATGTAGGAAAGTTACCATTGCCGCACAAGGCCAAACCAAGCGCTGTCTCTTAACCCATAGATCAGCTGCATGAACAAGGCAGGAATGCAAAAGTTGGCAGTAACATGTTACAAGGAATGTATTTACCCATAATATGACACAATTAGGTAGATAACGAAGGGCTTGGTAATATTATTTTCAGAAAATGAGCATATTACTGTTTTAGTAAGTGATAACATAAATCATTATTTCTAAAATGTTTTGGGGGCTCCTAAGAAGTTTTGGACATGTATTTTTTAAACAAATGGTTAAAAAAAGAAGTATAGCCAGTGATGAGAGCTGTACTTCAAGAACATGTGAATGGACTCACTTTGTCCACCTCAGGCTCATTGGTTATTAGTGGAGAAAACATACATTTGTATTCTCTGCAAAAACTGAATCCAATATTGACACTTCAAAATGTTAGGCAGCATTGTAAGCAATTTCCCTAGCAGGGAAAATAAATGATTATACGTCAGATTTAAATACCTCCAGTTTTCCTAAATTATCCTCCTAGGCTTGTTTGTGGATAATACTTGTATCAGTGTCAATAGACAACATAAATATAGGAACCTACTTATGAAAACATGAATTAGCATTTTGCTGTTAATAAATTATGAAGAACCTCTTGAGATGATTATACAAACAACGTTAGGATGTAGTAACTCATCAGCATTGCAGCCTGTTTCAATTAAAGCTTATGTATTTTTCTTCTTGGCTTGTGAGAAACATCTATTTCCTCACTTAAAAACTTCGGCTGCATCCCAGGAAAGCTGCATGTGTATACCACATATGTATGCGGTGAACCAAATATTTATTTGTCAATTTCATGGTGGCCGTTCATGCTGCTGAAGAAGAAAATGACATTTTAAATTGAAACAAGGGTAGCCTCTTCAACACCAGGAATGACTGGCTTGGAAATTTCAGCAAAATCTCTTATTATATGNNACATCAAAATCTCTTTTTTTATATATAGCGTGTGTGTGTGTGTGTGTGTGTGTGTGTGTGTGTGTGTGTGTGTGTGTGTGTGTGTGTGTGTATTTACCTTGTTGGAACATATATTTTATGTATCTGCTAATACTTTAGAAGATAGACTGAACATTTAGAAGGATCTAGACAGATTTGAACATTGATCCCTATCCAATAAGATGCAGGTCAGTGGCAGGAAGAGTAAATCCTGCACTTAGTCAGGAGAAAACAAAGGTTCAGGATAGGTGGTACCTGGCTCAACAGTAGTACCTGTGAGGGGGATTTAAGTGTCCTGGTGGACCACGGCCTAAGAATGAGTCAGCAGTGTGCTGCAGCTGCCAAGAAAGCCCACACTAGGCTGCATCAACAGGGGGATAGCATCAAGATCACGGGAAGAGATAGTACCACTCTATACCGCACTGGTCAGGCCGCACTTTGAGCGCTGCATCCCATTCTGGTCATCACAATACAAAAAAGACACTGAGGCCCTATGAAATACTATGAAGAATGACTGAAAGAACTAGATATGTTTAGCTTAACTAAGAGAAGACTGAGGGGAGAAGTGATAGCAGTCTTCCAATATCTGAAGGGTTGCCACAGAGAAGGGCATTGATTTATTCTCCATGGCGCCTGACAAGAACCAATGGGTGGAAATTCATCAGAGGGAGATCCAACCTAGAAAAAAGGAGGAATTTTCTGACGGTGTGAACCATTAAGCAGTTGAACAACTTGCCTCCCAATATTGTGGATGCCCCATCGTTGGAGGTTTTCAAGAAAAGATTGGACAGCCATCTGTCTGGGATGTTATGAGTTCTTCTGTCTTGGGCAGGGGGTTGGACTAGAAGACCTTCAAGGTCCCTTCCAACCTTATGACGATTCTGTGATTTTATTTATATGAAAATCAAAGTCTGAACCTCTAGATTCAGTGTTTTAGACTGAAGTCCTATACAAACAAGTCTCGTGGAACTCAAACTCAAACTGAGTGGAAATATGCTGTGTATTATGGAGGAGCAGGGAGAAAGTAAAATATTAAAGCCTCTGAACAAAAAGTTGATTGTTCCTTTAATATGATTCTTCTCTTTCCAACACAATCTTCTGTGTTCTTACAATAAATGTATGCCCTGCTATATTCTGTAAGATGTATTCTCAAGTAGCTTTGATATCAATGTGACATGATCCTCTCTAATGCAAGAAGTAGCTTTAGAGGAGGGATGGTCTTTAAGACTGCAATTAGAAGAAAGAGCAAACCACTCTCCTTCATGTTACAATTCTGATAATGAACACATATACAGTGGGGTCTTGACTTGAGAACTTAATCCGTATTGGAAGGTGGTTCTCAAGTCGAAAAGTTCTCAGGTCAAATCTGCATTTCCCATAGGAATGCATTGAAAACCATTTGATCCGTATCTGCTCTTTTCGTTCCATAGTAACTAATGGGAAGCTGCTATTCTGCCTTCAATCACTAGAGGGGGATATTTTGTTTCTTTTTTTCTTAGGTCAAGAAAGGTTCAGGGAAGGCAGGGAAAATACAGTCCAGGCAGTACCAGGCAGTCTGAAGACTGTCTCCCAATCCACTCTCTAAACGCTGGGAGGAGGGAGGAAGCAGACAGGCACCCTTTTCACTGGCCAACAGTTAACTGAAAGTTCACATTTTGCCCTTTCCCTGCCTCCCACGTGGGTTTTTTTCAGTTCTTAACTCAAATCTAAGTATGTAAGTCAAGTCAATATTTTCCTATGAGAGCGGTTCTTAAGTCAAAATGTTCTTAACTCGAGCCGTTCTTAAGTCAAGACCCCACTGTACTGTATAGTGTAACCCTAAAGCTTTGGTTGCATTCTTACAATGTTAAGCACAGTAATGCATTTAATGTCACATCTAGTTACTGCTTGGGTCATTAAATTAATTGAATTAAAAACTTTCCCCATATCTAATGATTAGTTCCAATATTGTACCTAAACCTGCTGAGAAACTAGACACATAAGAAGCTACCTAATATTAATACTGAGGGCAGATCTCTAGTGCTGGAATAAACTAGCAGCCTTTTGGATTTGGGCTAAAGTCATGTGGACTTCTGAATATTTTGCAGGGTTTGGTTCCTATGTTTATGTTCTTTGGTGGCCGTTTCTTGCTAGTTGTTTTAAGGTTGAAAGATCTCCTGTAAGCAAGGCTGCTCTACCAAAGAAATATAAGAAGGAAGTGTCCTTTTCCAGGATGGGCTACAATTAGAGCTTAGAAAGTTCCTTTTTCTGGACTACAACTCCCAGAACCCCCAGTCAGTCTAGTCACACTGGCTTGAGGATACTGGCAGTTGTAGTACAAAAAGGTAATTTTTCCAATAGTTCAGTGATGATATTTCTGAATGTTGAAACAATAATAGTTTAAGGATTTTTAAATTCTGGTTTAAATTCTTTTAATTTTGTTCTGTTGCCCCCCACAACCCGTTTGGTCTTGTTTTCGGAATGGCAGGACATGCATGTAAATAAATAAACAAAATTAATAACAACATTTTGGTCCATGTGTGTTTCAATATAAAAAAATTGCTATTTTACAGCTACAAAAGACCAGCTGGCAGCCTCTTTTGAAATGGAAATGTCTCAGGCTGGGTTCAGTGCCCATTACTCCCAGGTAAGCTTACCAGGTTCAAATAGAAATCCTTTTTCCAAAGGGAACACTTGCACATAATTCACGTTGTCTTGAATATCTCTGGACAGAAATGTTAGTGCAATGTGACCTAGAAACAAACAGCATTCTTGGTTTTCTGTTGTCCTTGTAATGCATTCCTATACATGTCTACCAAGAAGTAAGTCTCGTTAAATAATTGTGCATGAATGTCATGCTACATCACTGATTGTATCTCACTCCTATCTAACTTCTTACGCTTTTGAGTCAATTCTGACTTATGGCAACCCTTTCCAGGATTTTCGAGGTAGAGAGTACTCAGAAGTAACTCCTGGGGGCATCCTGGGACTGTACAACTAGCCCAAGGCCACACAGGCTGGATCTTCTTCGAGATAATTGAACTCTCAACCTCTGTTCATCCTCGATCCACACATGGGTGGAGAATCTGGGATAGTTGCCTACAGTTCCCATAACTCCTAGCCAACACGGGCACTGGTAACATTTCCCAACTTTAGACATGGCCATGCACACAGACTCCCATCTTTGATCGCAGAGCCACACAAAGTCTTGTTCACAACTAACACTTATACATTCAAACGTGGGCAAGGGCCAGAAAAGAGATGACTTGTCTCACTCTTTAACTGTCAGCATGAACATCTGTAGTGAGAAAGTTTGTGTCCTTACAAAGGCATCCACACACCATCTGGAACTCTGCACCTACTAGGTGGCAAATCACATGGCTGTGTTCACAGATACCACTATGGCCACAAATGCTTCCTCTCACATTGTCTGCACTGCATGCATGGACATCACGGGGCAAGCCATGGTAGTATGCATGATGTTGGTAGGTTGTTGGTGTGACCTCGCTCATACCTAGATTCAGTGTGTGAATTGTTGTTATGTGCCATCAACTCAGTTCTAGCTTGTGGTGATGCTAACAGAGGCTTTGAGGTATGTGAGACATTCAAGGAGTTTAGTGTTGCCACACACACACACCCAAGTGAATTTCCATAGCCAAGAAGGGATAGGAACTCCAATCTCCTGAGTCCTAGTCTGACACTATATGTGCCATATCACTTGGGCTTTCTAGCAGAGCTATTGAATAAGGAATATGAAATTATAGAAAGTGTGATATCGGACCCTAGATGCATTTTCACCTCATTTTCTGTCTTTTTATGGTTATTACTGCACTTAATCTTTAATAGCTGTGGATACAAATGAGTCAACAAAAATGACTACTGTATAGTTTCTTAGGAACATTCTCAAGATAAATCATGAGCAGACCCTACCTTTTAACTTGTCCTTGTTTAACCAGTATTTATCTATCTATCTATCTATCTATCTATCTATCTATCTATCTATCTATCTATCTATCTATCTATCTATCTATCTATCTATCTATCTATCTATCTATCTATCTATTTATATCCCACCTGTCTGGTCAGACGACCACTCTAGGCGGCTTGGTCCAGTATGGACCAAAAATGCAGTAATACAGTAATCAAATAACACAATGTGTGGTTTGTTTAAAAGTTATTGATTTCTCCTGATTTACAAGGACTGGATCATGCTTGGAGCAGTTGGAGCCTATGACTGGAATGGAACAGTGGTAATGCTAAAGGACAGCGGTTTTTTAATCCCAAGGAATGACACATTTTATGATGCATCTTCAGAAAGAAATGAACCTCTTGCAGCTTACTTAGGTGAGCAAAATATTTTCAGTTTATTCTTTTATTTCTCTTAGAGACCTACTGAACATCCTAATCTTCCATTATTGTCACCGGACCTTTCAAAGTGTTTTGTTTTGTTTTGTTGGGGAAGCTTTCAAAGTTAGGAGTTACATGATGAACCCATCATGTTCTTAATAATAAACCAGAGTTCTTCAAGGTGATAAAGTTTTAAATGTCAGTCCTTAGGCCTCAGTTCTCAGTAATTTTTCCTCTAGTTCTTCTAAAACGTCATTTAATACAAAATGCCATTCTTGACTTAAAGGGACAATTTAGACCATGAAGTTAGCAGAGATTTATGCCGTGAATCGTTTGTTGACAGTTATACCCTGTTTTCCCCAAAATAATACCTAACCTTAAAACAAGCCCTAGCATGATTTTTCAGGATGCTCGTAATATAAGCCCTACTCCCAAAATAAGCCCCAGCTAAGTGAAACCCCGCCCTCTGCCATTGTGCAGCATTGTGCAGCAACCAGAAGAAGATGACATGACTGTAAAATAAAAACATCCCCTGAAAATAAGCCCTAATGCATTTTTGGAGCACAAATTAATATAAGACCCTGTCTTATTTTCAGCAAAACATGGTAGTGTATCTACAGTATACTACACCGTTATAGCACTTTAACTGCCATGGCTGCATCCTACAGAATCCTGGAAGTTGTACTCTATTGAGTGACTGAGAATTCTCTGCTAGAGACTCTTGTGCAGTATCTGATGTACAGCATAGAAGTCCAAGTGTTTTGCTACACTGCAGAGCCCAAGTTTCTGTAGGAGGGAAGTATAATAAGTAAAGTGATAGCAACATGTTCTCGCTACTGTATGTATGCAGGTATATTTATAGGGTGTGATCAAATTGCAAAAAGGTGCACATCTGATTGCACTGGAAAGGGCTGCTTTAACAGGAGCAATCTCTCTTAAAACGACCTTTTGGTCCATTGGGGAATTTGCTTGAGCCCAGCTCCCAAAAGTAGTAGCGCTACTGCTGGACGAAAAGGGTCCAGCTTGGGCATAGCTCAGGGTTGGGCTGTAGCGCAGTTCCCCACATGTCATGTGACTGCTGGGAAATAGGTTGCACTGGACCACACCACAAGTAGTAAAAAATGCAAGCTATATGGCCATGTGAACATGTCTTTAGTTATTAAGTATTGCATGCCCTCTGAAGCTCCAGATGGTGTCTTCTGTCCTTTCAATGGTTCAGTAAAGCCTTGAACTTAGGACATCACAACCCAACTCTCTGAGCACTATATTATATAGGCCACATAACAGATGTATTCATGAGTTTTGTTACTAAAGACACAAAGTTGTTTCTATCAAATATTGTGAGAACAAATGCCATATCTTTGATTCTTTAGGTTACACAGTAAATTCAGCCACTGTACCAGGAGATGTGCTATACATTGCTGGACAACCTAGGTATAATCACACAGGTCACGTTATCATATATAGAATGAGAGGGGCAGATATAGAAATACTTCAGCGATTAACTGGAGAGCAGGTAAGTGTATATCTTATATTGCTGAGAAAATATTTCTGGGATCTCATATATGTGAAGAATAATTAATATCAGAAAAATATTATTGAATTGTTGCTGCATTTTTCTGGCTCTGATTGCTCCATCAAAATTTAACTTGTGACTTAGGCCACTGAACATCAGAGGAGCTTAGTATATGATATTACTGTTTCTGTTTTAAATAACATTAGATGCATTTATGCTTTACATACATAGCACTTCAAATGTGCAACAAAAATGAAGATTTTCTTGACAAGAACTCAGACTGCTTTAACTCTTTAACTGAGCCTGGTGCAGTTATTAGATCCCCATAGAATTACCTAAGGTAGTGGTCCCCAACCTTGGGCCTCCAGATGTTCTTGGACTTCAACTCCCAGAAATCCTGGCCAGCAGAGGTGGTGGCGAAGGCTTCTGGGAGTTGTAGTTCAACAACATCTGGAGGCCCAGTGTTGAGGACCACTGGGGAGAGGGATGCACAAGACTAGTAAGAGCTACATGAAGGTTCTGACTGTAGGGTTCAAAATGTCTTCTTGGTATTTGTGTACAACCTTGCAGTGGAGGTCTTCAGTATAAGCAAAGGATTTAGCTAGAAGGCCTAAATATATGGCTAGCACAAAATGAATTCAGCAATAGATTAACAAACATGTAATGGGCTGCTATTTTGTAAATTATAGATTGGATCCTATTTTGGGAGTGTCATTACAACGATTGACATTGACAAAGATATGTATACTGATATTCTACTGGTGGGAGCACCTATGTACATGGGGACCGAAAAAGAAGAACAAGGCAAGGTGTATGTTTATTCTTTAAACAAGGTAATGACTGTGAAAGACTAAGAAAAGCAGTGTTCTTGTTTTAATCATTTGGGGTAGTTTGTGTTATTTGTGTTACATCGTTATTGGAATGCCAGAGTGATTTGCTCACTACTGCTTAATATGTGCAATAAGTCCTTTCTCTCTTTTTGAGAGCACTACAAAATGCCTCACTCACTCACAGTGAATGGAGACTAATTTTGCAGATTTTTGTCCTCTCATATGAGGATGAGACTCAGAAGGATTTGTGTCATGTTTGAAAGCTGCAGCAGATGAAAAGACGAGGTTTATGAGGAAGGGCTTTTGTACTCTTGAAGGGCACTGGAGAACAAAGGAACAGTGATGATAATGCCTGCTAAGTGTCCCATGCTCGCTATAGCCCACTTATGTTGTCAATGGGCTGTGAAATATTCTGGGAGTTCTCCCAAAAAAGTAAAATCTCCAGGTTGTTTTCTTGGAGAACCTCTACTCTAATCCAGAGCAGGTAAAAATCAATTGATGGGCTTGTTGTCCTTTGCAGAAAATATTTGAATATCAGATGACACTTGAGCCAGTAAAGCAGACATGCTGTTCACAACTGAAGCACCATGACTGCACAAATCACAACAAGAATGAGCCATGTGGAGCTCGCTTTGGGACATCCATTGCTCCAGTAAAGGATCTCAACCTGGATGGGTTTAATGATATTGTCATAGGGGCTCCTCTAGAAGATGATCACCGGGGAGCTGTGTACATCTATCATGGCAGTGGAAGCACTATAAAGAAAGATTATGCTCAGGTATGTCAACAAAAATAAATGACTCCCTCAAAATGTGAATTCTTGATGGCCATGGCACACTTTGCAATCTGGATGTATTGGATTTTTCAACAAAGTGCACAGAATTAGTTATAAGGTTGCAATGTTTTTCAAAAGATATAATCTACATGCTACTAAGTGCCAGAGTTTGATGACTGTCAGCCTTAGAAAATGTCAGTCCAGGACTGGCATTGGTACTGTGGACTGGAGGTAAAAGTAAAGGTTCCCCTTGACATTTAGTCCAGTTGTGTCTAGTCTTATGGCATGGTGCTCATCCCTATCTCCAAGCTGTAGAGCCAGAGTTTGTCCGTAGACAATTTCCATGGTCACATGGCCAGCACGACTAGACATGGAACGCCGTTACCTTCCCACCGTGGTGGTACCTATTTATCTACTCGCATTTTTACATGCCTTTGAACTACTAGGTTGGCAGGAGTGTGAACTGGAGAGTTCACCACATTTAAGAATATTTAAATTATTTTCTACAAGATGTATGTATTCAGAATGTCAAATTTTGATCTATGAGGAAATATCTTTATTATAATTCTTATCATTAGTATCTGTGTGGCCCAAGAGAGTCTCTGGTATCATAGCCTTTTATTCAACATGATGCTAGTGAACTGAAACTCCCAGTAACACAATCATACTGGATACACAATTGGGGCAGAGGTTGTATAATCTCATGCACTGCAAAGGTAATACGCGTATTGGATACCATCATTCAGTTAACTATAAAGATGTACAACCACTAGCAGAATAGACATTTCAATAGTGGACTGACATTATTAGATAAAGGCCACTGGTTTCCCAACCAATTAATTATATATTTTAGATCTGACATCATTTAGTAACCCCAAGAATGCTAAGCCAAAATTAAACAGATGACAATAGCATGTAATACTGTCATCTTACTGTCTTCTTTGTTCTAGAACATTTTATTTGTTTTGTATTTCTTTCTACAAGTTCGGCCAATCTCTGGGTTAAATAGTTGTTGAAAACAACAACAGCCACAACAGATTCCTATGCACATTTACTCAGATGTAAATCTCAATGATTTCAGTGGAGTTTATTCCCAGGTAAACATACAGAGTATCACAACTTTTTATTATTATTATTAATTTCAAAAATATTAACAATCTAACATATAATTAAAATGAAAAAACAAAAATACAGAAAGAAAAACTACCAAACTAAACATCTCCCCTCCCCCTTTGGAGCAGAGATTCCATTGTCATCTGGACCTCAAGTATCTTCAAGAGGATTCCGGTGAGCACTTAAGTTTCGCCCTAAGCTCCTGTCTTTTTTCTGGACCCAATTATGTATCAGGTTCCAGCTTTACTTTACAAAGTCTCTTGGTTGCTCCCGTAGTCGTAGTGCCTCTCGAAGGATATCTAATTCTGCAACACAGTATCACAACTTTAAAACTGGTGCAGTGACATTATGGTTTGTCCTTTCTCAGCGCATTGCATCAGGTGGAGATGGCGAAAAGATGAAATTTTTTGGCCAGTCTATACATGGTGAAATGGATTTGAATGGAGATGGACTGACAGATGTCACCATTGGAGGTCTTGGAGGAGCAGCCCTCTTCTGGTATGTGAATTAAACTTTTGCATTCTAATAGCAAATTCATTCTCGGAGTTTAGATCCTTATGTACTGAAAATGGCAACACAAGGGAAAGATAATTTTAGAATCCTCCAGCCGTGACTAGTAGGGGGATTCCGGGAGCTGTAGTTCAAACTCCAGATGGCGCACACACGCACACACATACACACACTAATAAATAATAGTATCAAGGTATCTAGGTTTGAATTTCTTACCATTTCTAGGGACAAAAAATCACCCCTCAAGTGCACCAAACATGCCCACCTGTGTCATAGAATATCAGCATGAGTTAGTGTAACAGTGTAACACAGAAATGGTCACCACAGAGCCTCCCTGTCTTTGCCCCAATCTGAAGCTTCAGCGCCCTCCTACTAGACTTTCTCCCTGTGATAAAAGTCCTAGGAAGTTACCCACGCTTCAGCTCAGATGTCCCTGACTAAAGACCCCTGCTCTGGGCACCTTTCCACACAAGGCTTCACTGGATCCCACAGATCCCACCGCTGCCACCAATTTATTGTAACAGCCACCCTCAAACCTCAAAGAGTGGTTGCTACTTTACTTTAAAACTCTGCTGCCACCAACTTATCCTAAAAAAATTATAAAAGGACAAGTGTAACTTTGAAAACAAAAACTGGTTTATTGATTACAGGAAATAAAAATAGTAAATCACTGGTAAAGAATCAATTAGTCAATCACTGTTCTTAAATCACTAGCTCACACAGACTATTTCTCACTGACAGGCTCTCTCACTCACTGTAACTAACAATCACTTTCAACTCTCTTCTCAGACTCTAATCTGCCCTCACACACTCTTCACCCCCCTTTTTATATCAGCAATTTCTTACCATTTCTAGGGACAAAAAAATCAGCCCCCAAGTGCACCAAACATGCCCCCCTGTGTCATAGAATATCAGCATGAGCTAGGAATGGATCTTTCAAGATACTTAGATACCTGCTGATGTGATGTTATGTCTGCCCGTTACAGTTAGGAATGGATATTTCAAGATACTTAGATACCTGCTTATGAATGCCATCATTGGCCATTGTCAAATGAACATGCTGGCTTTTTTAAGACTAGTGTTGAATTCCATTATGACATCTACTTCCCATTGGTTAGTTTTTAAGTATTTTTAAATGAACAATGCTTTTGCATTTTTAAAGTATGTTGATTTTGGATTTTGTCCATACATGCTTTGCCACTTCACCGCCTTGCTATTCCATGTAGATCTTTTTCATGACCTGTGTCCTCTAGGTCTCGAGATGTTGCAGAAGTAAATGTATCCATGAAATTCACACCCAGCAAAATTAATATCCAGAAAATAAGCAGTGGCATGCAAGAACAAAGGGTGTCCATCAATGCCACAATTTGTTTTGAAGTCAGATTAAAATCAACAGAGGTTACAATTAATGAAACAAGTAAGTAAGCAGCATCCAAGTTAATAAACTTTACTATGTATAGTGCATTGAGTGGATAGGTAAACAACCAAAATGCCAGCAGTTCCTTGGGAATCTATGAGAGGACTTGAAGATATAGACTAGAGACTTTGGCATATCATAATTTGTTTTGCAAGAAGAATAAAAAGTCAGTGATTTCTAAACATTTTAGAAACAAATCCTAAATATAAGACCAGTGGGTGCGGCTTCCGTCACAATCATGCTATATTTCCCATCAAAATGAAGCAGTAACTTACAGAACCCGTCCATCATACCAAATGTAGTAAATATTAGAGGTGTACAGAATTGTCTTTTTTGGACTACAGCTCCCATGATCCCTGAGGCAGTCTGTGGCTGTGCTGGAAGTTTTAGTCCAGAAACCACAAATCTGCACACATCTAGTAAACAATAATAGAAAGTCTGAATCTACTGTGGTGGCACCCTAGCCTCAGCACAATGGAACTTTCTTTCCCTCCTCTCGTGGCTTCTACCACTGTCCGTACATGGGCTCCAAGGGGCTTCCCATCCATCCACAGCAGGTTTTGAGGGTTCACAAGTAGGGGTGGGTGGGGAATTGAATGGATAAGAGAGTTGGCTTTTCTTCATCCCACTGACAGAAACAGTTTGGCCACTTCTGTTCCCTGTTGCATTTAGACCCAAATGTTCTGAAGAAGCAGAAATAGGGGAAATACTAGTGACTCCTTGGAGTGAAACTGAGGGACATCACACTTATTTCCACCGTGCCTGTAAACCATGATGCCTGCTTATGCAGGACCGTTCTTTAGAATATATGCAGTGACCTTACCCAGAACAAAGCACAAAAGTGGCATGCAATGAGATGAACAGTCTTCATAAAGACTTGCACAAAGGTTTTACTATTGCAACCAATTATTTCTGTTTTCTTCTTAGGTATCCAGTACTGGCTTACACTCGATGTAGCAAGAAAGTTGTCCCGAAGTCTTTTCACAGAAACATCTGAACGGAAGATGCAAAAAAATATCACAGTCAAAGGTTTAGAATGTATTAAGCATAACTTCTACATGTTGGCAAGTAAATCATATAAAGTGGCTTTTTATTCCTGATCACTTTCATTGTAAAAAAAAAAAAAGTCTATTTAATTCAAGAATAATGTCCAAACAGCTAGTTGTTGTTTTTTTAACAGAACAGCCTGCTATGGAGAATTTATACTAACTTCAATGTGGGCAGTACCCTCCTAGCTCACAGTGCTCCCGTTTTATTGCAGTTTCTTACAATAAAACTGCTGTTCCATTCTCTTCTGTATCATAGCCTGATAACCTGCTGGCTCTTGCTGATTTCTGCTTGGGACATACAGTAGTTTGTGTAGCAGAGGCAACTAAAATGTAGAGGCTTCATCCTTAGTCTTTTAGATACTGGCCTGCATACTTCTACAGAGCCACATAGGAAGTTTCCGCTAAGTCAAGACCATTGGTCTGTCTAGCACAGTGTTATTAACTTGGACTGGCCATCACTCTGCAGAGTTTTGTAATTTTTTTCTAGCCCTACCTGAAGTTCTCTGATATTCTGTGATACCCCACCCAAGGAATAAACAAACCTGACCCAACTTAGCTACTAAAATCAGACAAGATTTAGGGTGGTATGATGGCGCTGTTGGGCAGTTATGATAAGGCTATCTAATAATTCACCAGGATCAAAAAGACAGCTACTTTGCACATGCAGGGAAGGTTTTCAATCACTTACTTCCTGACAGATTCATATTCCTAGCTGGTACAAATCCTGGAGGGACAGATCCTGAAGCTGAGGCTCTAATACTTTGTCCATCTTATGAGAACAGAAGACTCCCTGGAAAAGACCCTGATGTTGGGAAAGTGTGAAGGCAAGAGGACAAGGAGACGACAAAGGACGAGATGGATAGACAGTGTCATTGAAGCTACCAACATGAATTTGACCCAACTCCAGGAGGCAGTGGAAGACAGGAGGGCCTGGCGTGCTCTGGTCCATAGGGTCACAAAGAGTCGGACACGACTTAACGACTAAACAACAACAACAAAATATTGCCCTTAAGCTGTGAATAAGCAGAGTTTAATCTTTCTTATGTATTCTGGTTTATTTTATTTTATGCAAGTTATTCAAAGCATAAGCCACCAGCAAACCACAATTTTAAAAGGATGTATTTCAATTATTGTGGTCAACAGAAGAAAATAAAAAGTTGCAATGGCTGATGTTCTGGTTTGTTTCTAGGACAAACCTGATTTCCGTGATTCAATCAAGGTTCTGTTGGAGTTTAATTTTTCTGATCCAGAGAGTGGACCTATTCTTGATAGTGCACTCCCCAACTCAGTGCATGAATATGTAAGTCCCTACATTGTGAAATAGTATGTCTTTATTAAACTGTTCCATATGTGGGTTGAAACTCAAGACCTCTGCAGTAGATGCACAGCATTCACCACCATGCAGTTGTTAATGCACTGGCACCAAGACAGAGAGGGAAAAGAACCTCTTTAACCCAAATTTGTTTCCAGAGAAGTTCTGGGACTCTGTGCCAGTGGTGAATGGAACATAACTGACAACTTATTTTAAGGTCAAGTTCTTACTGTTGATAATGAACAGTAAGGAGAGCAATTTAGAGTAGAAAAAAAACCTATATGACTACTAGGAAACTATCAAACAATGGTGTAATGGAGGAACAATGAGGCCATCTGAGGAAGGCCAGTGAACCAATTTAGATTTTCAAATAGACCTGATTTGGGCCTACAGCATGAGGTTTGCCACTGCTCCAGTACAGGAGGCTAGCATGTCAAATTAGACAAGGGACCTCCAAACTTTGCACAGTGAGGGCCACACCAAATGTTATTTCCTTTAATCATTGTTGCCATTTACAGAACCAAGCTTAAAAGAACTGAATACCAAACAAGGGTCTTAAATCATTACTAGGTGTGAATTACAACCATATACCACTGTCATAGTAGTGCTGTCCTTGTGTCCACTCCCCCATAATCTCGCTTAAAGTCTTAGCTCAGCCCTTCCAGCTCAGTGTACAATGAACATATGCGTGCATATCTATGAACTGTGCTTATAGAACCCTAGTTCAGCTTTCAGAATGCATCAGTACTATAACATGCAGCAGAATGAAGTGACAGAATGGACTATACTGTTGCAGAATGATAGTAGAAATCACATTGTCAGCATATCCTTTGTTGTTTTAAACAACCTTCATATAGAAAACAGTATAGAGAATAATTGGCTACATTAGAACTTTTCTCCATGATGTGCTACTTTATACTGTCAGTGCAAGTTTTAAAACATAGGCAGTACTCATATATAGCTTGAGCTAATGGTACTCTCTCATCCTCATTCTGCCATATGTCTAGATCAGGGGTCTCCAAACTTTTCAGTGGAAGGGCCACATCATAAATGCACCACATTTTTGAGGGTTGAAGGGAGATGCACGTGGGTGCCCACCCAACCACCTGCCCGGCCAGATAAAAAGGTATGGTGGGCCGGATGTGGCCCACAGGCCATAGTTTGGAGACCCCTGAGTTAGACTATTGGTCCTTCCAATTCAATATCATTTATACCAATATACAATCATTCTGCCATAGTTCAGCCCCACCTAGAGATACTAAGGATTGAACCTGGGACCTTCTGCAAAACAGACATAAACTCGGCTGGTGTCAAAACCAAGACAGGCTATACAATGAGCAGAGCACTGCAAAATCTAGCATCCACAAACAATCCAGAATTTCATTCTGCTGTGCTCCATCATAGTTTGCACACAACAGGATTGACAGGTGATGTGTAAGACGAGAATAAAATTAAAGGACAAATGCAAGCTAAATGTTTTTCCTATAACATTGATGAAAGACAACTGCACTCCACAATTCTGGAGGTAGGATTGAAGAATTTCAAGCCAGATGCCATTATTTCTTGGGTTTTCTAGGTTTACAACTGAAATCCTGTTTGTATAAGTTATGCCACATAAGGTTGATGATATCATCTGCTGCCACAATTTTTGAGGCATTAAATATTTCTGATTTCTCTCCTGAAGGTGCCAAGGCTCCCACTGAATCCCTTTCATTGTCATGAAGTTATTGGGTGCCAGGAGATAGATGGGAGTCTCTAATTACCAAAAACTGCTTGCTGCCATTAAAGTAACCTTACCAGAAGTGATTTTCGGTAATTAAAGATGCATACTTTGTGCCGTTGCTTCTTGACAATGAAAGAGATTTCACAAGAGCCTAGAGATCTTCAGAGGAGAAACCAGCAACATTTTATTTCTGAAACATCACTGTCATTAACGATATCATCAGCGTTAAGCAGTAAAACTTACACAAACAGGATTTTCTGCCAACAAGTTGAGAATTATGTACCACATGGATTATTCTTTAAAAGTTTCCAGTATAAGACTGCAAATCCATACTGAGATATATTAATTGAACAAGATGAAAGGCAGTTAGCACATAGCAACTTACAAGACAATGGCCAAATAAAAAGGGGGGGATGGGGTTGAATTGTGCTTAATGGTGTGGTAATTTAAAAATGTCTTGCAGATTCCTTTCACGAAAGACTGTGGAAATAAGAAGAAATGTATTACTGATCTACAGCTGATAGCCAATGCCACTATAGAAGGAAACAGGTAACATGAACTAAATTACTTCTTTATATGCCAAATATTTAAAGTTTAATTTTTAATAAAATGTCATATAATGCAAAATATGAAAGATAATAGTGAGCCACTATTGCAATAAATTTATAAAACAAACGGCCTATAATATTAATTAGGTTGAAGGTAAATGAGACGGGAGATGCATGGTTGCCTTCAAAATCAGTAGCTCTTCTTATCCTGATAAGGCCTCCTAACCTTCAGCCCTTTCGGTCAGTTGCCCTCAATATGTATGGAAAATAAATTTGGTAGAATTGCAATTCTGGCCAAAATTGTCTGTTTCCTATTTCCCAAGACTCTTTGTGGGAAAATAGGGTAATTTGGCAAGGCTTCTGTTGTCCCACATGTAAGGCCTGGTGGTAGACTGCGTGAGGTGGGCCCTGGGTCAGAGCGTGATAGCTTGACAACACAGGCATCCATGCCTCTGTCCTCCTTGCTGCACCATCTTATAGTTTAGTAGCTGAAGTCCTGTTGGCATGAGTATGCCTGGGGAAGGGTACCCAAATCATCAGCAGGGGAAAATTTTGGCAATTAAAGACTTTTCCTTTCTTTTTGTAGCCTTGTCTGACTTGCAGATAATCTGTTTCATCAGTCTGAAGCTACAGACAGAGGTCTTTCGTCATCCAGTGACGGAGATTTTTGATAATTAAAGACTTCCTTTAATCATGCACCTTCCATGGCTTTTATGCAATGGATCAGATTATTTGCAAGTCAGAGAAATCTTTAATTACCAAAAATCTCTCCCTGCTACTGAAGTCATTGCCTTTCCACAGGTGCAGTTACACCAATGAGATTTCAGCCTCTATGATATGCTTCTACCTATTTCATTCACAAATATTTTCTCATTTTTCTTCACTGTCATCCTGGCAACAAATAACAATTTTTCACAGTTTTTCTCTATTTCTTTCCAAGACAGTTTCTTCTACATCATCAACTGTTATGGAAACAATGGTAAAAATGATAATAAATAACAGCTGCTTTTTAAAAAAATTAATGAAACATTGTTTTTTTTTATTTCTTTTCTTGTGTTTTCCAGTTTATCTCCATTCATTATTAAGTTGAACAGTCTCAAGTTCCGGGTGCAAATGTTGGTTAAGAATAAAAAGGACAGTGCTTACAATACAAGAGTTCTTGTCCAGTATTCTCCCAATATTATTTTTGCTGGGATTGAGGTACATATTTCTTTGTTATCATCATCTGGGGATAAGGAACTAGCAAAGCATGTTCATTTGCATAGGAGCAGTTCATGTGTATAATAATTCAGCTTCTGCTGTCCCAAACTGTCATGAAAATTGTGGTTTCCCCATAACTTAAGTGGACGTTTGGGCCTTTGCTGCAGTTCAGAATTACAGAGCTCTCCCATGACATATGGGAATAAAAGTGGAAATACCATATGTTTTCTCTGTGTTAATGGAAATTCTGAGAGATGTGGTCTAGAAAAGAAACTTTTCTGGGCTTAGCCTTGTACAGATAGAGGGAGAGAAAGCTGAGGACAGATGGAAGCTGAGATAAAGGGCCAGAGGCTTCATATATTTGCTTGCCCACCTACCTCCTTTGTAGACCTTAGTTTTTTTATAAGGCATGCACAGGGCCAGCGTTGGATTTAGATGTAGGGTTCAAATCCCTTCTAATGCTCACTGGCTAGGTCAGTAATGTCAGTGTGTTATGTCTTCTTCTAGTTCTTTTGAGAAGAAGAATGGGAAGCAGTGGGGTGTAATGCACATATGTATGTCTAATAGTTTTCTCTAAAAACAAGAAAGGATCTCATGAGACCTTAAATAATTCAATTCTTCAAAAAAACCTGCAGTTTTGATATTGTGCTTCTATAGCCGTTTATTCAAAGTACTAAGGAGTGGTCTAATATTGCTTGCTACACAATACCATGCCCGCATTGCCAGCAGGAAAAAATGATGTCAAGCTTTCCATAGCAAAGGGGCAGCAGTCAAGATGGTCTACCGCAAGGGTCCCCAACCCCCGGTCTGCAGCCCGGTGCCAGTCCGTGGGCTTCCTTGAATGGGCCATGGACACAGATCTCCACCCCCACACGCATGCACGGTAGGCGTGTTGCGCTCACGGGGGGTATCGCGCTCATGGAGGGGTGTGTTGCGCTTGCCAGCATGCGCACAAGCACTACGCATGCCTCCATGAGCATGACACACCCCTCCACAAGTGCGACAGACACGCCCACCCATGAGCATGACATGCCCACCCGCAAGCATGGGGGTGCCCCCACCCCCTGCACATGGAGCCTGCCCCCACCTGCAAGCATGGGGGTGCCCCCACTCCCTGCACACAGAGCCTGCCCCCTCAACCAGTCTGCAGTCCCAAAAAGGTTGGGGACTGCTGGTCTACAGGGTACCCTCTTGTGCTACCATTCCCAAAGTGACACCATGCAAGGGAAAATCCCACTCAAACACAAAGCAATAGTCAGGGCAGGTTTTTGTTTGTTTGTTTGTTTTTTACAAGCGTGAATGGCACAAAGCAATAGTCAGGGCAGGTTTTTGTGTGTTTGTTTGTTACAAGTGTGAATGATAGTGACACAGTTTTACTTTTAGAAAATCATAACCCCAAAACCCTTTGTTCAAACTTCCCCAAACTTGGCAAAGAACAAGAGCAGACCCTTTGTTCAAACTTCCCCAAACTTGGAAAAGAACAAGAGCAGGCTGCCTGCTACATCTGTGTAACATTTGATGCTGATTCAAATTCCAGTTTCAATGTTACAAAAACAATTTTTTGTTTGCTCTCATTTTTAGAATTGCCTTGCAGAATGTTGATTTGCTGTGCTGCACTACCAGGCAGCTACGTATAATAACACACTGCAAGGTTGTAATTAAATGAGACTCTGTCAATTAAAGGATATGCTATAATAAATTTATTACTCTTTAAGAACAAATACCAGAAGAAGGGAATGGTAAACCACTTCTGAGTATTCTCTACTTGGAAAACCCTGAAAAGGTTTGCCATAAGTCAGAAATGACTTGACATTACATGATTATCATTAAGGTGCCATGGCATTCTTGCCTTTGCTTTAAAAGACTAGCATGGATATCCCTTTGGACAATTTGCTTTATACATGTGATGAAATGTGCAACAGTTCACAAAAGCTGCCAGATAAAACTTGCTTCTCTTTATCATGCCACAAAATTCTTTGCTTTTAATAACACAACACAATGAAATGTCTAACTTCCCAGAAATGTTTTTTAGGGACATGAAATCTTTTGCACAACTGATCCCTTGTTTTCTGTTACTGTTGCTTTGTTCTTAAGCATACTACCTTTTACAATATAAAGTTTGATTTATATCATTCTATGTCCAGAAAATACCAAAAGACAGTTGTGAATCTGGGCAAAATATCACCTGTAAAATAGGCTACCCCTTCCTGTCAACTGGAGAGGAGGTAAGACATTTTGGGTTACGCTATAATGCTTAATTTGTGCATGTTTGCACTGCTGGGAAGTTCTATATGCAGAGGGAGGGGATGCCTGAACCTCAAGACCAAGACTTCTGTTTGTTTCCTTGTACAGTATGTACATCTTATATTTACATGCACTCCATGGATGCAGCTAACAACAATCAAAATGTTAAAAAAAAATTATTTTTATTTTTATATATATCGAACAAATGTAAAGTCTGTTTTTCTGACCCTCATACAACACTAGCTTAAGTAAATACATTATGGAAGCAAGCCCCACTGTTTCACCAAAGGCTACAGTCCCCTTGATGCATACTCAGGAATAAGCCCCACTGAACTTATTTAACCTTATGTTTAAGTATCAATGTATAGAACTGTATTGTACATTGCTTTTTACCCACATGAATATTAGATATAGGTTTGTGTTACTTTCCAAAAGAAGAAAATGCATGGTCATTATTTAATTACTGGTTTATTTCCAAGAAGACAGCCTTCTGATATTTTCTTTTCCTGGATGAAGTGGGTAGGCTCCCTTTTAGCAGAGGGATATGCCCCCATAGTGTCTTTACAGTGAACACTAGCAATATTATAGCTCTGTGAGGGTGGAATGAGATTTCTGATAGAATATCCTCTGTCCCTTTAGAGCTATAGTTGCAGAATGCTTTGGGAACAATTCATGATTATTAAACATACATAACATAACATACTTATCCTAATAATAAAACTCATTCTTCACATCAGGATGCTTATGCAGCAAAATGATGCCATCCAATGCACAAGGTGGGAGGTACAGTGGTGCATCACAAGATGATTTTAATTTGTTCTGCGAAAATCGTCGTCTTGTAAAAAAAATCATCTTGCGAGGTTCCCTATGCATCGGTCTCAAAAAAAACAATCTTGCGAAGCACGGTCATAGAAAAAAGTCTTGCGAGGCAAGAGTGATCACAAAGACAATCGTCTTGTGGGTTTTTCATCCCACGAGGCAATCGTCTAGCGAGGCACCACTGTAGTAGGAAGTTAAGGTGGGGTGGGGTTGCAAAAGTACAACAATGTTTTAAAAGTTTTTTAAAAACCAATAACTTGGGTTGCAGGGGAACATAGAACTTCCTGGTGAGGAGAATGCATGCTCTTTGGCCACATAATGCTAATTAATTGGGAGAGGTGGCTAAGCAGAAGGGAAGAACATATTTTGTTGCAGCCGTCATTTATTCAGAGCTTAGAAACTTAACTTTTTAGTTGGGGGTTACTAGCTCTCCCAAAATCTCCCAACCAACATGAACACTTGCAGACCAGGAAGTCCCTTTTCTGCTTGTCAGATATAATATAAATAAAGTCTGAAAGAACAGATCTCTAAATATATGCATGAGATCATTCTCAGATGCTTCCAGTAAATTAATGGAGAACAGCCACTACCTTCTCTTTCCATGTAGTCACACCAAAAGATCCACATTGCCACTTCAAGTTTAATCCTAAACGGCTGAGAAAGACGAGAAAGGTGTTTTTTCCACCTCCAGCAGAACATGCGGATTTTTAGAATCAAGTGTCCAGCATCACTGCTTGGAGATGAATGTGAAATGGATGCATGACTTATGAAACATACACTTGGGAGACAGGAAGTGTCTTCTCAGCAGAACTGAGCAAATATTGCCTGAGGTTTGCCTTGGCCGTTGCTTTCCTAAGCCTGACTGTGCCAGAACTAGAACTGTATGAATTACATTAGCGTGCTGAAGTGCATGGGAATATAAACAGCTACTTCCACTGTTGTCAAAATGCCTGCAAACAGCATATTCAAGCAGGCATGGTTATCTATTATTAGTTAGAAACAGTCCATTTGGAGGATCACAGAGTCATGCACTATCTGTCTGGGGGTCAAGTCAGCAAGAGATGCTGAAGTTGCAGTAGGACATTTAAATACAAGATCCCTTGATTCTAAGACACTCCTAGGAAGTTTTTGCACACAACATGAACTTCTCTGTGCATGATAAAAAAAACAAGGTGCACAACAAGTTTCTGTATTGTCTTCATGCCACTTAGCACAGCTAGGAGGCTTCTGGGTAAGACAAGGTACATACTCCTCTTGGACCTTGTTTTAAGATGAAAATTCTTCATTTAAGCAATTTTGTTGTCTTTTTTGCTTGTTTTTTTTGCAATGGAGGGGGTGGCAGATCTGTTTGTGGGGCAGAGGGACAGTACAGCATCCCCAATTACTTAAAATTTGTTTGTCATCTCTTCTAACTGGCAGTAGCTCTCTAGCAACTGAAGAATTGGGCTTCTGCATCTCCTGATACTTTTTAATTAAACAAGTCAGGGATTGAACCTGGGATGCAAAAAAATAAGACAGAAAATGCAAGGACACTTATGTCCATCTGGAAAGCTTCTCCACAGGCAGCTGGTTGGCCACTGTATGAACAAAATGCTTATCCAGGGATTCAAAAAGAGAGCGACTTCAACGGTGTGAGTTGCTTGAAAGGCTTTAAGCACCACCCACTCTTTTTCATTATTTCCATATAAAGAAAGGTAGTCCGAAGAAGAGATTCTCTGCTGCATTTGATTGACTTGATTGATTTTCCAGGATCTCCTACTGCACAGAGAAACTCCATGAGTAGCAGAAGTTTTCCTCTTCAGACAATCCTTTCCCCTTTTTTGAACAGTTGAATGGGATTCAAGTGTTGGACAAGTTAGGCCTTTCATCATGGCTCTTACTGTATGTCTGGATCTTAGAAAAGGAACAAGTAAAAAACATGCATGTTGATACATACATGAAAGCTAAAAATAGAATTCTTTAGCATTTGTGGGAAGCCAAGAAACACCCCCTTCACAAGGGTGAAGAACCCACTATGTTAAAATGTTATGTCTGTCTTCACCCTGCTTCGTCTGGGAAGACCCCAAGGCAAGACTGATCTTTGCCACTCTCCTAACCTTTGTTTTCAACCTTTACATTAACCATGAAACTTGCTGCTGTGCTTCTCAAGTAGAACTCCACACTCACTGAGGATTTTCACAACTTATGAAAATAACTTGTGTGGAATTTCAGTTTATTTCCCACATCCTTCCACTGTGACCTGGTCTGCTTCTCTTGACAGCATATTGGCTAACAGCAAATTTTCCCACAGCTTATTCACCAGAGGCTTAAAAGCAACAGGCTTCTACAACTAGGAGCTTCTTTCTGCACTTTCATGAAATGCTTCTAAGCAGCCCATTTACTGTGTAAATGTTGGAGTTGCAAAGTAAACACAGCTATTAAAAACTGGGGATGATTATTTTTATAAACTTGAGCAGATGCATTGGTTTATTGAAATGTTATAGTTTCTTGACTAAAATATAGGATTGCATTACACCTGAGTAAGCCAATATCCCTATTCAGTCTTTATATACTTGGAACTTGGCAATACACTTAGACTAGACCACCCCCTCTACATTATTGTGCTCTCTACATGGACAGCAACTTGTCTGAGGAGAATACTTTCCTGATTGTGTGTAGGCTTTACAGATGATTCTCTATCTAGTAGTACTGTTTTCAATTTGATTTGTTTACCTCAACTATTTTTAAACTACATAATTTATATGCACATCAAAAACTTTTTGTTTAGATTTTCTTCGAAATAGCATTCCAGTTCAATACGTCCCACCTTCTGGAAAATACTACAATCCAGTTTTCTGTAACAAGGTTAGTTTCAACAATTGCTTATATTTATCATTTTGGGAGGAAGCAGTAGCCAATTTCACTTGTGAGGGAGTGAGTATCTCACAGAACAAAGGAAAGGTTAAACATTTGTACTAGTAGATTAAAGCAGTAGCTATTTACGTGGTCTTCAGGCAAATGAACATGGTTTCATGCCTGCCTCTTGAAAAGAATTCACAAAATTAGTAGCTAGGTAAACATAATTTGAAGATGAGATTCTGGAGCTCAAATAATAGGAGAAAGCATCCACTCCATTTGTTTCATTTATGTATATAATACTGGTTGTTACTGTAAATTATCCAGGGCAGTTCTTGGTGAACATGATTATTCTGTGCTTGGACTCATGCTAAACTCATGGTTTGTTAGTTAAATGATAGTTAAGAATAGGCACTGGCTATCAGTAACACCGTCTTATAGTGCAAAATTACAGTTTAAGATGATATCTTCAGGACTGGCCCTACTAGTTGTCAGAGTGAAGCAGCGACCTCAGTAGCAGATACTAGAAGTGGGTTGCAGTGTTGGACGGCAGCACTCTGTGTTCTACATGAGCTGCCTCCATTCCGAGGGCCAGTGTTTTTTTCTTGGCTTCAGTGTGGACTATGCTTTTTCACCACCAGTGTTGATACATGTCTGACGGGGGAGAGAGATACATCCTTTTCAGACAGCAAAACGCCATGAGTCAGCATCTTGGTCTTTGCTTGTCTCTATGTTGTCTGATATTGTTTATTTTAATTTTTGTTTTATATTCGGAATGTAAACCGCCCAGAGTAGATTCATTGAATCTAGGTGGGTGGGGTAAAAGCCGGGAAAATAAATAAGTAAAATATTCCAAATGATCTTATTCCTTGAAGATATGGTTTGACTTCATATTTCTTCAAAACAGGACTTGATTCCTGAATTAAAATACCTTTTTTTGGTAAATACATACATTTTATCTTAAGTTGAAAAGTCTGTTTAATTAGAACAACTGAAAGGTCACAGTGCTCGTGTCATATTAGTAAGCACTTTATTATAACCAAACTAGAAGGAATGTGACATTTTTAGATGGCATGTAACATCATTTTTTTTATTTTTATTTTTATTTTAACAAGGGGTGACAAAAAGGGAAAAGGGAATTGAGATTAAGAGGGAAAAGGAGAAACAATAACATACTAACATCCATTCTATACATATTGCCATATCAAAATTCCAAATTACTCTTTTTACTATTTTCTGCCTTCCAGATTTAAGTTCTCATTTCAATGTATGCTCTTCATACGCTGTCTGTTAACTCAATCCATTTATAGAATAAGTCCCATCTTTCAGATGCCTTTTGTAAAGGACAGTCCTAAATCACTTCTGATAAAATGTCCATTTCCGCTGTTTCCCGTATCTTCTCTATGAGATCTTCTTGTTTTGGTACCATTGGACTTTTCCAGCTCCCATCATTTAGAGTCCAAAAAAGTCATTCTTCCATGCTTTGAACAAAACTATATTCCATATACAGAGAAGAAACTGACCATCTTTTTCTTTTTAGTGACAGCGACGAACATGATGAGACCCTTGGAGATAACAAAGGAAGTATTGTAATACCTGTAAAATATGAAAGTGGATTAATTTTTAAAAGGTATCTGTATATGTTTACTTGTCTTGTAGTCTTCTGCAGAATTTTTGAGATAGGAGGGTTACCAGCTTGGTAGAAAGCCAAAAAAACTCATAAATAAGAGATGAAGCTGTGGATCTTGTTCTCACAAGAAGCAGAAAAATTCAGTGCTGAAGAGAGGGTGGGAATATACCCTTGCCTTTTAGTGGATGGGACTCTAAACACCTAGACAGACATTTTCCTCATCTGAAATAAAAATACTAGACAAGAAATTTTAGAATTCAGTTGGGCTTCTGCTTCTACACTCTGAAGAGGAACATAATAGATCACATCACCAAGAAAGGTACATGGAGAATTACTGAAGTGGGGGTGGGGTGGGGGAATAACAAAAATTATTTAGTTTACTAAGTAATGATAGATAGATAGATAGATAGATAGATAGATAGATAGATAGATAGATGATGGACAGACGGACGGACGGACGGACGGACGGACGGACGGATGGATGGATGGATGGATGGATATAGTCAGTCCCATTAGAGCTGTGCACTGCTCTGGTTGGTTTACAGTAGAATAAAAGCACAGTAGGCATGAATTAAATAAAACAGATAAGCAACATACCAACAACATTTTAATTTTATTCATTTATTTTATTGAAAATATTTTACCTCACCTTTCTCCTTAAACAGGACCCAAGGCAGCTTGCATCATTAAAAAGACATTACAGTGGTGCCTCGCTTAACGATATTAATTGGTTCAAAAAAACATCGCTATGGGAAAACATCGCTAAGCGAAACAACATTTCCCATAGGAATGCATTGAAAGCCGGTTAATCCGTTCCAATGGGAACGGATTACCGTCCTTAAGCAAAAATCACCATAGGAAACCGCTAAGCGAAACACTGTTTCCCCCATTGGAATGCATTGAAGCCTATTCAATGCATTTCAATGGCTTTGCAATGTCCGTTCACTGCATGCCAATGGGGGCGGGGAGTTCACCAAAAATTAACGAAGACTCAGAACAAAGCCAAATTAAGTTTGCAAAGATTTCACAAGGTGCACTAACGATTCCAAGCATTTAAAACAGGTTTCAAACATTTTAAGACACTTTTAAATGAGCGAAAACGGACATCGTTAAGTGAAAATCGCCCATAGAGAACATTGTTAAACGATGCGGAAAATTCCTCAAAAAAACCCATCGCTAAGCGAATACATCGTTAAACGAAGCAATCGCTAAGCGAGGCATCACTGTTCTTAAAAGCAAAACCAGCAAGTATCAATATTAAAAAAGAATTAAACAAATATTATCTTAAAAATAGTAAATAAAATCAGTACTAAAAGCACATTTAAAAGCAACAAGGCACAACAATCCAGAATACAAATGTCCTAGGTCAAAATGCTGTAAATATTAGCCAAAATCCTGTTACTTATGTCCTGTGGTGTAACTCCAGTGTCATGCATTTCAACAGTGATTTACCAGTTAGTTATAGTACTTCTCTTGTAGCACAATACCTATGTCATTTGGTGAATGATCAGAAAATGCAGCAGCGGTTTCTAACTGGTGGCAGTTGACTGCTGAAATGTAAGATTTTGGAGCGATGCTGATATAAGTATGTAATAAGATTGTGATCATTGACTCTTCTAACTCTCATTAAGTTCAACAGAGCTCAGTCCCATCTAGAATCTTTTCCATTTCTAAGCATATGCACTAAGCACACAGGAAAAGGCTGATTGATTGTACCTCCACTTTTTGAAAGTCCATGTGACAGCCAGGAAGCACATTCCACTGTTTTATGTTTTGCATAAATGTGTAAAAAAAACCCACAAGATCTTGTAAATAGGCAAACTCTTTCCAAGGGCAGTCAAAAAACTGTTCAGCCAGGCATGATTTATATTGCTAATCTCAGAAGGCAAGACTCTTCACTGAGAAGATATTTCAGTGATTCATCACTTGGGGGAGCTACACACCAACCTGGCAGCTTCTGAAAAAACACAATTATATGTGTTTCCTAAGTCAGTCCTATTGTATTCAGTGGAAACTAATCTCAATAAGTGGGTTTAGAAGTTTCAAAAATTACAGGTGCATAGAGATTTTTCCTTCTTTCTTTATTCACAACTGCACAATGCTTTCTCACAGCCACCACACACTCACTAAAATGTGGATATAATGGCACTGACCTACTTTACAAGAGTGTGTAACAGAATAGATGGATGTTTTTGTACATTGTAAGTAGCCAAATAAATACTTATTGTTTTGTCTTTAAGAGATCCTGTTTCATATCACATCATTATTGCCGCAAATGAAACCATTCCTAAAGTGTTCAATTCTACTGAGAACATTGGAGATGAAATTAACTTAAACTATTTGGTAAGGGAAAGAGTAAAACATTTTCTGATTGCTGTTTTTATTAAGTAGCATTGTATGCATGTTCAATAGCTGAAAATCTTCAGTGTCAGATGGGCAGCATCCAATATTACATGAGCAGAGTTCCCTTCATGCAGTGGGCCATTCCTGTACTCTCCTCCCCATGCAAGCCCCACCCACCCCCAAATCTGCAGGAGGCTAAGGAAGCCACTCTGCTGATGAAAGTAATTCTATCACAACTGTTTTTTCAACCAAGAGAAAGATCTGTTTTTCACCCAAGGTCATATTTCAAGCTTGTAAAAAGGCTTGATTCAATGGAGACCTTCCCCTGGTGGATTCTCATATAATAGGATTGCATTCCTGTTAACCACTGTAGTAGTGAATGAAGGAGGTGCAAGTAAAAAAAAGTTATCAACTAACCAAGATACACTATGCTTCATCCTTCTTGTCCATAGATCGAAAAAGGTGAATATTTTCCCATGCCGCAGCTTACACTGCAAATCTCATTTCCTTACATGATTTCAGCTGAAAACCCTGCCCTTTATTTAACTAGAATATCATCATCGGAGGTAAGTTTGTTATCTATTTAAAAATAAACAAGGATTGCCCTGTCATATGAAGTTAAACTTGGATTATCAAATTATGAATAATATTTGATAACCCTTAACCATTCTGATGTTTTCATTTGAATATTTTGCCTTTCTACTTAATATTTGCTCTCCATTTATATGATAAACAATAAACTTTCCAACAACTATAATAACACTAAGCAATATATGGCATCCTCATTTAGTCTGCACACTATGGATTGGATCCAGAACTTGTTTTCCAAGGATGGGAGAGATATTTTTTGTTTGAAGGCGGCTTGTCACTAAAGCTAATTAACGTGTATCCCACTCCCCCCCTCAAAAAAAAAGATAGTCAGGGCACAACCAAACTGATGGAACTGGGGGAGTGGGCCATTTCCCCCCATTTCCTGCTTTTCCTCCATGACCTCATGACATTCTGCTTTTGATGGTTGGGAAATGCTTGGAAATATGTGGTAGCTGCAAAAAAAAGGAATAGATTGCTGAGGATCAGTTTCCTCCATTTCTCACAAACAGAAGTGTTATAAATGGAACTCCAATAAGGGGATCATAGCACAGAACAATACTCTGTACTTTTGCTTATTTAAAGAACACCTTATTTCTGCTGGGTTTAGAGAATGAGCAAGCATCAAGCTATATGTACAGTTAACACATCATTAATGATTACAATATTAACTGCATGCAGTCAAGTCAAATCAAAGTTACAGTGATACTTCCTAGGGTTTTCTAGGTAGTGAGTATTCAGACGTGGTTTACTGTTATCTTCTTCTGGGAATGCCCTGGGACTTTGCAGCTTGCCCAAGGTTACACAGGCTGGCACTTTTCCCAGGAAGCACAGTGGGGAATGGAACTACAAGCTTACCTAACCGACTGAGCTACTCAGCCAGATTAGTATATCATGACACAGGATAGTTTCTTAAGTGCTGAAAAACAATCTTATGTTCTAACATAAGATTTCTCTCCTCCCTATCTTACAGCTCAACTTTTTGTTTGTTTTTTGATTGCTTGTCAGGAGCAATCAAAAGAGGTTTGTTCTGAATTCATACTGCTCAGGTTATTTATTGCTATTAGGTTCAGCTGATAATGTTCCCCCTTCTTATTTATATTGATTTGAATAGACTGTTGTTGGTTTCCTGCTCAATTATTATTCCTTACTTATTTTTATTAGTGTTCATTTCAAAGTAATAAAATTAATACAATTTGTTATTAAACTTTCATCCCTGTTAATCTCATTTGGACTGCCAATATGATTTCTGATTCTGCCCCCCTTCTTTCCCATAGAATGCAAAATGCCGTAGCAGCCATCCCACAGATATGTTAAAAATGGATGTTCCTGGAAATTCATTTGTGCCATCTGAAATACTAAAGCCCCTAAAGGATTCACACATAGTATGTATATCTGAATTTGCACTAAGGGGGTGTTCAGACAAGCATATACTGTAACTCAGTATTTGGTTCAGTTTTGGTGTATGTATATCTGAATTTGCACTAAGGGGGTACTCAGACAAGCATATCACTATTTGGTTCAGTTTTGGTGTAGTTTGGTTTGCCCTATTTTCTGGCAACTACATATGTTTTTAGCTAGAGTAATTCATCCTGCCCCTTTTGCGAGGTGTTCTACCCCTTTCTGGCACTGTGCTAGGGTTGTAGTTATTTGGTATGATTGGGAGTGCTCCTGATTATCCTCTTCTGCAATCTGTGTGGTTGCTTAATTCACTCCCAAGAAGAGTTGTGGGTGGTGTTCTTTTCAGTAACAACCCTGTGATTATACAGTAGAAAGGATGGTAGAGAAATCCTCTCTCCTATTTTTTTTCTTCTCACATTTTAAAATGTTCTCATAAGTGATGCAGCACTATTTCAGATATAGGGAGAATCCATGCTAGATTGATGTATTGCTGTAACACTATGCCACTTACTAAACTAAATGAAAAAAAATGAAGCTGTTCCAGCACAAGGAATGACAGCAATGACAAAAGGTGGGGGAAAGGGGCAAGGTGTAAAAAAAAACCTAAAGGGGAGAAATTGGAGCAATCTGAAGCACTGTTTGGATCTTTCTCATTAGAAAAGCAACATCTCACAGAATTCCTAACAACTATTCATGCTTGTTTTTTTCTCATGGCTGTTGATATTCAACAAGATATAGGCTCCAAACATTGTGTAACCCGGGTGTTCTTGGACTTCAGCTCATGGCTGTTGATATTCAACAAGATATAAGCTCCAAACATTGTGTAACCCAGGTGTTCTTGGACTTCAATTCCCAGAACCTTCACCACCAGCTGTGCTGAGTGAGATTTCTGAGATTAGCAGTCCAAGAACACCAGAGTTACCAAAGGTTGGGAACTACTGATCTACTGAACCAAATTTGAGAACCACTAATTCACGCACACAACACCCCTGCCAACTATTCTGTATGCATCCAACAAAATGGACTGTGCTCTAGGAAAGCTCTTGACATACTGTAATAACAATTTTAGCTTTTAAGATGTCTCAAGTCTTTGTTATCTTTTAAGGGCTGTTGTACATTGTTCTTGTTGTTTGGTATGCTGCTCTGAAGTTCTTCTTGAGTGGAAATGTTACATATACATTTCCATGTAAATAAGAGATAATAAGAGCTAGCAAGTCTTTTCAGTAATGAATGGAATGGAATTCACTACTGCTGTCAGAATGTTTTACTTTGATTTCAGTGGGGTGAAGAGGGTTGTCAGAATATCTAAAGGAAGGCTAGCTTGGATAGTCATGTTTTGCAGATGTTTGATTAACATTGTATGGCATCATCCTTCAAACAGAACTGTGATTCCTATGACTGTGCATCTATTAACTGTACTATAGACCCGTCCAATGTAACTCATGTGAACATTTCACTCCGACTCTGGAAAGCTACATTTATAAAGGTAGGAAAATCCTTATACAGTACTTTCTCTCTCTCTCTCTCTCTCTCTCTCTCTCTGTGTGTGTGTGTGTGTGTGTGTGTGTATACAATATACACATGCATATACGTGTGTGTATACATATAAAATAAGTGCCCATAACTGTTAGTGGAAGGATGTCCATTTATAATGAATTATCCATTTAAATTCAGCTTTGTCTTGATAGAAAAATTAAATGGAGGGATGTCAAATTTACTGTCCTCACTCCTCTCTGCTCTCTTTTCCCCATGCTAATGCAAACTGTCTCATTAATAATCTGTATACAGTGGTATAAGTTGACATTCAAAATACTTTTTACTGCATCTGTTCACATTAGCAGAAACAGAATAATAGTGATAGACAAAAACAAAAAAACATCTGTAACAACCTTCTGTACGGTGAAAGCAGAAAATGACAAGACAGAGAGCCTCGCAATTAGGACCACAGCTACCTTAATGATTAAAGAATTTGTGAATCTTCCAACATTGCTTTGCAGTTTCACAGGTTGCCAATTAGCTTATTCTTCTTTAGCAGTTAGTTATCTGGGAAGAAATTATGGTTTTCCTTTGCATGCTCCTGAATATAACTGCCTGTCTTGTCTTTTTCTGCTATCGGATGGTGTGTTTTGCCTGCATTTTACCAGAAAAAAAAGGAGGGGAGCTATTCTGGCAGGGCAAAGGGAATGTTCCAAGAAAAGATTAGTAAGGTTTCAGGGGAGTTGCCCAAGTAACTAAAGTTGCAAAGTACAGAAGAGATGCTGCATTTGCATCATCCTGGGAAGCAAATGAAATCTTTGCAACCCACTTATTCACAATGCATTCATGCACTGGAAACAGGACATTGCTTTAAGTCATTTCCTGAAAAGCAAGATCAGGGTCAGGAAGGTCTACCTTATGAGATGAATTGTGCATGTTTGAGCATTGGCCTGGGTTCATGGCCAGTTTTATTCCTTGGCCAAAGTGATGCTTCTGCTTGAGTAATCTACTAAGTGGCAAGTAAAAGGAACAGGTAAAGAGAGCACAGGTGGATCTCCAGACTTATTAGTGTTCAAAACTGTGCAGGTGAGGCTGTTCTACTTTTGGCACATCATCAGATGGCAGAAATCTCTCTAAAACACAATGCTGGGATAAGTGGAACGTGTACAGAAGAGATGCTGCATTTGCATCATCCTGGGAAGCAAATGAAATCTTTGCAACCCACTTATTCACAATGCATTCATGCACTGGAAACAGGACATTGCTTTAAGTCATTTCCTGAAAAGCAAGATCAGGGTCAGGAAGGTCTACCTTATGAGATGAATTGTGCATGTTTGAGCATTGGCCTGGGTTCATGGCCAGTTTTATTCCTTGGCCAAAGTGATGCTTCTGCTTGAGTAATCTACTAAGTGGCAAGTAAAAGGAACAGGTAAAGAGAGCACAGGTGGATCTCCAGACTTATTAGTGTTCAAAACTGTGCAGGTGAGGCTGTTCTACTTTGGGCACATCATCAGATGGCAGAAATCTCTCTAAAATACAATGCTGGGATAAGTGGAACGTATCAGGAAAAGAGGAAGCCCAAATATGAGATGGGCAGACTCCCTAAAGGAAGATACAGGACTGAGCCTGCAGGGGTTGAGCAGAGCTGTTGATAGTAGGATATTTTGGAGATCATTCCTAGGGTGATCAACATACATTGGAGCACAGAACAACAACAGTAGAGTGTCCTTCAGGGTGGACAACAAAGCCTAGAAACATTATTTTTTTTCTGAAATACAACTCCTGGAATCCAGTGGTGGCTTGCAGATGCTGAGAATTGTAGCTGAAAAAAGTAACTTTTTTTATTGAGTCCTTGTCCTTATTCTGAACCCTTCAGGAGGTATAATAATCTCAGAACTGGAAGAGACACTATGAATAATCAAGTCCAATCACTGTCAAGGAGGCACAGTGTGGAATCACTATGGGTGCGGCTCTTTTCCAGCTGGTACCCTGAGCCTCTTTTGCTTTGTGCTTTCTGGGTCAAGCCCAGTATCTGGATCAGGAGAGATCCTGCACTAAAGGAAACCGTGCTGCTTATATACTGCCCCAGAGTGCTTAAAGCAAGTTAATCATGCAGGTTATACATCCCTACCCCCAGCAAGCTGGGTACTCATTTTACTGACCTCAGAAGGCTAAGTCATCCTTGAGCCGGCTACCTGGGTCGTGAGGACAGTTTTGGCTGCAGTACAGCAGTTTAACCACTGCGCCACAAGGCTCTATCCCACAAGGTTTACTTTCTCCTTTATGAGGAGGATTTGAGCAGAGTAACAGAATCCTAGTGTAGGCATCCTTCAGTCTCGAGAGACTATGGTATCGTGCTCTGTATGGAGGTCTTGGAACAGTGTCTTGTGTGGCTGAGAAGGCCAATTCGAGAGTGACAATCCCTTCCACACTGGAGACAAATCCAATCTGTCCCCTGTCCAGCTCCCTGGTTTTGCTTGTTTCGGGACTGCCTCTTTGCCTCGGTCTGCTGTACAAGTGTCTCTTCAAATTGGGAGAGGCCATGATGCACCGCCTGCCTCCAGGCTGAACGCTCAGACGTCAAGGTTTCCCATCTGTTGAGGTCCATTCCTAAGGCCTTCAGATCCCGCTTGCAGATGTCCTTGTAACGCAGCTGTGGTCTCCCTCGGGGGCGGCTTCCCTTCACTAATTCTCCATACAGGAGATCTTTTGGAATCCGACCATCAGCCATTCTCACGACGTGCCCAAGCCAACGCAGACGGTGCTGTTTCAATATTGTATAATCACTAACAGTATAAATTCTATATAGCTTTATTCTTAAAGCCAGAAATCACACACTGTTCTGACATCAAACTACAGCTTAAACCATGCTTTTTTTCCCCCATGTCCATTTTCTTCTAGGCAAGGGTTCACACTGTAGGGCTCATCGCAAGAGCATTACTTAGAAGTGAAAACTCATCACTCATCTTGAGAAAAGAAAATGAAAAAACAGAGGTGAGTCCCACTTGCGACTTGATGGCACATAAGAGAGGAAACACGTCGAAATTACTGGGGCTTAAGTTGGTGGTCTGCTCTAAGCATGACTAAGCCTGGAACCAACCCAGTAAGGGTGTGACCACTGTACAGCAGAGGAATAGAAACTTGGATGCACAGTTTTCAATTCGAATCCCTTCTAGGTAAGATCACTGTAGCCATCCAGACAACAAACAATTATTGTGCTTCAAGAGTCAGCAGAGACATAGGCAGAGAAAGCTGTTGAGTGTGTTTTTCATTGAACTCCAACAGCAGGATCTGCCTTTACTCTGTGGAGGCAACATGTTAGCAATTTCCACTGGGAGCAACCCTTCCCTTGGACAATTTCTCTCCTCCCCGAGCTGACATAGTGCTTATTTGAATAGCACTGCCTTGGAGGGGTTTGCTCCCAGTGGAATATATATAAATAGAAGAAATGCTGTTTGGAGGGAACAGGCACTTGGTTGAGGGGAACTGATACCCCTACAAGCATCCCTTTACATTGGATCAGACAATCACACAAAGCAGAAAACGAGGAGAAGAAATGTCAGCCTAATTGGAGCAAATTAAAGCCATCCCTGCTGCTTGATCCAAAAGAGACGCCCCTATCCGGTTTCCCTTCACTGAACTTTACATTGTGTAGTCACCAGTTTTTAATTCGATTTCATTGGTGCCTAATCTGATGCAAACTACAGAGTAAATGGCCAATGTAGTAACTCTTAAGTTATACTGTACTTCTAAAATGTAAGCCAGAGTAAATGCAGGTTCAACTCTATGCCATTATGCTATTTCAAAGAGATAATGGGTGTATGTTTTCTTATAATGCTTTTCAGACTACTATTCAGATTTCAAGAGAGTTTCCTCCTGGCCGTGTACCATTGTGGGTTATTCTGCTCAGCGTATTTGCTGGCCTTTTGATTCTCACACTACTCATATTTGCATTGTGGAAGGTATGGTGTTTGCATTGTTTCTGCAACCTTAACATTTTCCAGAGCTTTTATTTTTAAAAATGTAATATTTTCCCTCTTCTACCACAAAATGAGGATCTTGAAAAATCAGTTAATAACACTCTTCTTATATGGTTTGTAACTTATAAACATAGCTATAAGCCATAGTATTATTATGTCAGTGGTAGCCATAGGACCAGCATTAGTACTGTTTCAGCTACAAGTATGCTAAAGGATTCTGTTTTAATACAAGCAAATGCACACATATATTCAAATTTTCTTCTCAAAAAGGTATAAAAACAAACCTTGCATAGTTTCAATTCATGTATGGAAGAAATAATATCTATTTGGGGTTTTAAGGAGGGAGCAACTATCGGTTCCTGGAATGAGCTTTGTCTCTCTACCGTGTTTCCCCCCCCCCCCCCCAAAAAAAAATAATAATATGTTCTGCTGGTTTAGATCACAAGAGTGAAAACTTGCTGCCCTCCAAATATTGTTTAAGTCTAGGTCCCATCTTTTCCCAGTTAACATTGCCAATATTAAAGGATGATGGGGCTGCTAATTCAACAACATCTAGAGGGCACAATTTCCCACCAGCACCACCAAACCAACTCTAGCTTAGGGAGCTCAGTTTTACTGATATTTAAACTAAGAAAATGTATTAAATTTCTAAACAATTTTCAGGGCATCCCTCCACCTTTATTTCTAATAAACTGTCACCATATTTTTTGCTGGCAGATTTTTTTTAAAAAAAATGTAATATTCAAAAATGTTTTGGCATCAGGTTTTCTTTTTCCCCCTCAAAAATATTATTTCAAAAAAAACCCCAAATATTTGAGAGAGATGGAATCTAAAGGAATAAAGCAAAATTCAAATGTAATATGATGTACAAGGGTGCAAACCATAAGGCTAAGTTATAAACAGGTATCTTCCCTGGTATAATTCTGTTTCTCTTTCCCATTTCTCTTAACTGTTTACTTTGGTCTTAAAATCTTGCACCACTATAGTGGTACTATGAAACTGCTTGTTCTTTTGATAACTATTCTAAAACTGCAACTGAATGCTCATGAGAAAAATGCACATATCCAGAAACTCATGGGTCCATAACTGCATCTTGTTAGGTATGAACACAGTGGATTACATGGTACCCTGATGATGTCCATTGTGGTTAACATCTGTGTGTTATTGAGCATTTGGCCACAAGTAGGCAGCCTTGTCAAAGCTAAAGTGAAAAAGTAATGGTTTGAAGAAAACAAGCAAATTTTGTGTAGCCATGCACAATGTGAATCAGTATCTTAGGAACTCTCCTGTAAAAATGGTAATTCGTTAATTCCAATTATAATTTATGACTAAAGTGAAATGCCACAGACAGAAACAATTTAGTGATTTAAAAGCCACTGAATATACATTATTCCACCTTCCTCAAACTCCCTAAATATTTGTACTAGCTGTTAAAAACAAATCCATACTACAAAACTTTATCAGTCATTTTTGCTACTAGAGTAAGGGGTCATTAGAGTGGCCTGGTTGCCAGATGGTGCAGGATATAAATCCAATAAATAAATAAATAAATTAGGACAGACAGAAGATTGGCCAATCCAGCTACTCTCAACTATAGGGAGAAACCTGCCATTCAGTTTAGTTGCCAAGCTAAATTTGTTGGGTTATTTTGACCTTTTCTCCCTAAGAACTGAAGTAGACAGGAGAGTTCATCAGACTACCACCCACCCCACCACTCTTACCATAGTATGAGCTAACTGATTCTCCAAATGTGGGACCTTACAGGATAGTCAAAATGCCCCCCCAAAGAGGTATTAGTGGTCCTGAAATGTGCAGAGCTGCCGTGGGAAGAGCAAAGGGTACATAGAAATGTATTCTCGAAGGCTTTCACGGCCGGGATCTGATGGTTGTGGATTTTTCGGGCTCTTTGGCTGTGTTCTGAAGGCTGTTCTTCCTAAACGTTTCGCCAGTCTCTGTGGCCGACATCTTCAGAGGACTGGAGTCTGAACTCTGTCCATGCTCTCTTGCTGTTTGTTGGATAGTTGAGTATTTATAGCTATGGGAACAGCTTTTGTCCTTTCAGGAGATAATACATAGAAATCTAGAAGCTAACCCATGACGAGTCATCATTCTCAATGAATAAAGAAGCCAGGATCCTGTTTAGTTCTTGCTGGGTAGAAGGCCACTGTATTAAGACTAGATCACACCACTTGCATTGTCAGGCAATAGAGAGTGGCTTTTCTTCCTGAAGAAGGTAGACTATGGAAAAGATTTCCATAGGGGTCTCATAGAAATTTCCTCTCTCTGACAATAGCAATGCTTTTACAAACATAACAGTTCCACAGTACAATGCTGGCATGTCTTATGAACTGAAGCTCAATAGGATACTGGTCAGAACATGGGGGAGAAAATGGGAGAAAAAGAAGAGAAGGAATATGGAATTGTTTGTCTTTGAAGAGACAGCAAGGCTGCTAGCCTTACAAACCTGGTGGGGGCCATGCTTCACCACACTCATGGTACTACAGGTCATGTTTATGACTATACATTTTCCATGCTGTTTTAATTTTCTTCTCTCTCGATCTCTCAATCTTCCCTTGCAGACTGGATTTTTCAACAGGCCATTAAGGAAGAAAATGGAAAAATGAGAAGAGAATTCCTTAAAAGAAACCTACAATGATCAGTTCTCAGGTCTTCCTCACAATGTGACTGTACACACTCCCTTTGTGTAATCTAGGTGTTCACTCTGTTTTTCCCCATCATTCTAAAATATCTAATACTTCTTTAAAGACATGAAACCTGATAAATCAAAACAGAAATGGATTGTTCAAGGAGGAAATAGATTTATATTTTTTATTTTTATGTTTGACACAGGCAGGATTGAAAGATCCATGCAGCTAGTTCCTTCCACCAAAGGTTTTCAATGTGGACTAAAAAAAACTGGTTTTTTTTTTTAAAGCAAGGTGCATTTTAAGTATGGTTTATAATGCTGCCAAACTGGGGTTGAGGGTGCTCTACTGACTGTGGAAAAAGAGATCAAAAACCACACTGGTTAACTGCAGTTGACTGGACCTGTTTTTAGATCCCAGCCAAGAATGTCAACATTGTGGTCTGCTTCTTGGACAGGACTTTAAGGCTGCCACTGCAAGGATATTAATATTTATGTTTTATTGATGACATGAGGTGATTCCAAAATAAGAGACTTGGGAGTCAGCCTCTGATACCAGCATGGGGAAAAATTATGAACATACTTCATCACTGAAAAACAGGGTTGGAATCATGAAGTTAACTTGTAGAGAAACCCATACTCCAAGCAACACTGGATCTTTCCTTTGTATAACTTCCTGTTTTCAAAAAGGAAACATTTAAAGCATGGTACTTCCTTAACCTGCCAATTCCAAATCTCAGAGATGCTGTTATTGTGACTAAAGATGTGCTTTGGTGGAAAACCGCCTTGAGAATATATCAGATTCCCTATGAAATTAGATAGAGACAATATTTGCTAAGCTTCACACTGAACATAGCTAACTTTAGCAGCTGTTTTCACTGAATGCAGCAGGGAAAGAACTGAGCTCAGTGATAATATGCTTTGGATGCAGAAGATTACAAGTTCAGCCTCCAGCACTGCTAGCTAGGGCTGAGAAATTACCCAATCAGAAGCCATGGAAATCTGCTGCCGGTCAGTGAAGACAATACTGAACTTGATGGAGTAATGATTGGATCCTATTTATGGCAGTTTCTTCTTGTGTTTTTCTTCCTACATGCAATTATATAGATAAAGGCTACATAAAAAAAACAGAATTCAGCTGATGTTAGAATGACATAGAACTAGCTCAGACATAATGGCAGATTACAGTTTCCCTCTGTACAAAGCAAAGTTTGCTATGTGAACAACTCATGGGCTAATGTCGTCCCCTTCTCTTCTTGTCTTCTTTTTCCAAAGGAAATTGGTCAGAAGTTTCTGCTGTTAAATAAACCACAGTTCCTTGTGGTGTGTACATTCATGGAATTGTGGTTTGTTTAAATTATGATCTAAGAAGAAACTTGTTTAAGACCCTGACTTGTTCTTAACACATACCTTAAGGAACTCACAGTTCCTTGAGTTTCAATGTTGTGAGACACTGTGGTTACATATAATGGGAAGTGAATCTTCCAGTCTCCTCCATATGGAAGTGAACATGGGAAGAGTCTGGGAAACACACAATCGCAAGGCTAGCTGTAGATCATTCACAAAGCAAGAACTGATGCATTTTGTATATACAGTGGTGCCTCGCTTAACGAGCGCCTCGGTTAACAACGAATCTGCATAGTGACAGATTTTTTGCAATCACATTGCGATGTTTTTAATGGTAAAACATCGCTTTGTGATGATCGGTAAGCTGTTTCGCTTACCGATTCTCGCATAGCGATGTTTTAAAAACAGCTGATTGGCTGTTCCAAAATGGCTGCCAGAAAAAATGGCCGCCCGCAGTGTTTTCGTGCCCATTCCTCGCATACCGGGCAGCGAAAATGGCAGCCGTATGGAGGATTTTCGCATAACAGTGCGTTTTAAGCCCATAGGAACACAATAACCGGGTTTTAATGCATTCCTATGGGCTTTTTCTTTTCGCATAGCGACGAATCCGGATAGCGACAATTTTTCCGGAACGGATTATCGTTGCTATGCAGGGCACCACTGTACTGACAAAAAGCATCAGTCTGGTGCTGAGCTTGTGACTACTAAATAAGAGTATTTGCACTTAGGCAAAAAAAAAAACCCTCACTGGCCAGTATCTTGTTGAGCATTTAAATCTGTTCAACTCCAACTGTTGCCACAGCAGTCTAAATGAAGGGCTGGTTGTGAGACTGGTCATGCACAATAAGCACCTTGCTGAATTGTTGCGAAACTTCTACAGTTGGAGCCCTGTGCAAGATTCTTGTACATCAAAACCAAGCCCTTAGGGGAATGGTGGAGAGAGCTGTGGATGTTCAGACTAAGATACGACAATCATCTTCAGATATCTGAATGGCTGCCGCATGAAAGACAGAGCAAAATTGTTTACTGTGGCTCCAGAGGGTAGGAGATTTTGACAAAACAATAGGAGGAATTTATTGACAGTAAGAGTTGTCCGTTGTGGGGACGTGGTGGCGCTGTGGGCTAAACTGCAGAAGCCTGTGCTGCAAGGTCAGAAGACCAAGCAGTCGTAAGATCAAATCCATGCGACGGAGTGAGCGCCAGTCGCTTGTCCCAGCTCCCGCCAACCTAGTGGTTCGAAAGCATGCAAATGCAAGTAGATCAAAAGGGACCACCTCAGTGGGAAGGTAACAGCGTTCCGTGTCTAAGTCGCACTGGCCACGTGCCCACGGAAGATTGTCTTCAGACAAAACGCTGGCTCTATGGCTTGGAAACGAGGATGAGCACCGCCCCCTAGAGTCGAACACGACTGGACAAAAAATTGTCAAGGGGAACCTTTACCTTTACCTTTACCTAAGAGTTGTTTAAGAGTAGAATGGACTACCTCAGAAAGTAATGTGTTTTTTTTTTCATGAAATGTTTTCAAATGGAAGTTGGAGGGCTTCCTGCAGCTGTGGGACATTGGAGTGAGTTGGAAATGATGGCCTTTGTGGTCCCTACCAGCTCTATAATTCTATAGTTCTAAAATGCCATTATTTTCATAGAAAAATGCCTGCATGGTAGTCACATTGCAATAGAGGAACTATTTTTCTAATTTGTACCTGGCGGGGGACACAAAATATAAAGTTGGTAGGCTGCCTTAGTTGTTGAATTCACAAAATGGATTCACCACAGTCACAGAGTTTTGAGTACACATTTTTAATGCTTTAAAGAACACCAGCATTTGTTTTCACACATTTTCAAAAGTCTTGTTAACTAGCCATTAATAAAAGGAACAGTAACTGCCAGTGCTTGTTCAAAGTATTTTGCTGTCTGAGGTAACCTTCACCACACAAGCAGCCGATTTAAGGCACATAACACCAGCCCAGTTACTTTCATGCACAAGGCAGAAAATCAGATAAGTGCCTCTCCCTCTCACAGGAAGGAAGTATGTAAGTAAATAGATGAATAACTATTTGCTGTCCTTTCATGTGACTCAAAATTTGATGCCTGAAGTGGCTACCTCATTCAGTCTAATCATAGAGTTGGCCCTGGAAATTCTATAAAAGCATAGTGTCATTCACATTTGGGATCATACTTGCAATAATCCATTACAAGCAAGAAAAACAAAAACAGGAAAACAATAAAATGTGGTAACCTATGGAAAACACACATACAAGCCCTTAATGTCCTTTTTTTAAAATTTTGCTGAATTAAAGATTTATTTAATTGTATACTGAAGTAATATTGGGAAGTGACTTAAACACTACTGTGTACACTGTATATAGGAATACACTGAAATAGAATGAATGTCTAAATATTTACAGAATAAAGTAGGACCCCCATATCCACGGGGGATCAGTTCCAAGCATCCCCGCAGAGGATGAAAAATGTAAGGATTATAGCGAACATTGTTTTAATAGTAAACATTATACATAGTATGGTCTCTGGCTCTCTCCAGTGGTCAGTTCTGGTAACTTTAGAAATATATATTTCTAGAGGTAGTTGTGGGTTTTTCGGGCTCTTTGGCCATGTTCTGAAGGTTGTTCTTCCTAACGTTTCGCCAGTCTCTGTGGCCGACATCTTCAGAGCTGTCCTCTGAAGATGCCAGCCACAGAAACTGGCGAAACACTAGGAAGAACAACCTTCAGAACACGGCCAAAGAGCCCGAAAAACCCACAACAACCATTAGATCCCGGCCGTGAAAGCCTTTGCAAATATATATATTTCTAGAATTTTTCTTTTAATATTTTTAATATATTCAAATGATGGATAAGTGAATCAGCGGATACTGATCTGGTGGATACGGAGGTCCTACTATATTGATTGCCTGGTGCTAGATAAAATGCAAAACAAAATCCAGTTCTGTATGAAAAAGACCTTTTGAAAGCACAAAAATATAAAACAGGGACAACTAACTTGTTCCTATGGGACTTAATCACAACTGACATAAACTGAATTAGACCACTCAGAACACAAAATCCAGTTATTTTATTGGAACTCTGTTTCAAGTAGACATGCTTAGGGTCATGGCCTTAATATTGCACTCAGTGACCTGCTTACTCCAGTGTAGTTCAGTTAAACACGGCTGAGCTGCCCTGGAGAATGTAGGTTATATATGGGAGTCAATGATGATGATGATATAATATCTTTTTTCACATGTATCATTTTTCTTCTGCACAATGAAAATGTTGTACTATGCATTCATCTTTCCAGATTAGCTTGGCATGTAGATAAAAGCAAATGTTTTAAACAAAAGTTTGATATGGATATTATTTTCAATATTTAGTTTTACTTTTCGATTGACAGGCTGTTCTTCAATAGCACTGTTTGTTTAATTTTCCCCCCGAATTTTAAACAACCCATCAAGGATTGGTTGACATAGAATGGCAAACCATGAGAACTAGTACTGTGCCTTTATACATCCTCTTCCCTTCATGCTTTCAACCAGATACTTTCTTTCTTGGGGGAATTTAAAAAAAAAAATGCCGTTAAATCCAAACTGGGAAACTGTGGTTCATACTTTCTTTCAGCCTTAGACTGCAAAACCAACTTGAAACTGTGATTTGCAATCCTGAATTGGATAGAAAGGAAAAACTAGGGTATGGTTTCCATTAAACCAAAAATGGTTCATTCAGGTAGAAGGCAAAAAGGGTCAAGAAAGTAGGTAAAAATGATGTGAAAGGTCAGTCTTTCTTCTCATATGATCAATCTGTGATTTGATGTTGCACTTAGATTCAAATAAATGTTCAAAGACACCAGGTTAGATAAAGTTCTCTGTGTGTTTTTTTAACAATTGTGTCAAACTAATGACTCATGCTTTACACCAGGAAGATTTATATCGATGACACAAACTATACAAGTTCATTTCTAAATACTTATTTCTCTAAATATTGAGAGGGGAGAAAGAAAAAATCATGTATTTGATGCAATACGATTGCATCATTCTGACTGAGTTTGTGAACAAAGCTGTTTGTTTAATGAATACAGCTTAGTGGAAAATACAGTACAGTCAGACTCATATATTGAGTCTTACGAATAATTATGACTGCATTTGGTCAACTTTTGAGAAATCCCTAAAAGTTTGATAGTATGTGTAAGATGTGCCACTGGAGGGGTAGACAGCTGAGTCCATATTTCCTAGGAAGAAAGGCAGAGTGCAAATGTGACATACAACTACACTGAAGAATTTTATGACATGTTTTGTGGACTAATATTTGCTATGGCATAAGACTTGTAAACTGGAACCCAACATATGCACACATTTTTCTTGTAATAAGAAATGTAAGAAGGTATAAAGGTTTGGGAAAGAAAGAAACAAGCCTGCAAAACAACCGCATAATTTAAAAAGTGTCAGATTGATAATACTGATGAAGGGGATCTTAGATCACAAAAGCTTGCAGCAGTGTAAATCTATTATTCAAGTTTTTTTCCATAGTTGTAACACCCAGAAACAGTTAATATTCTGGAAATGGTAGGCATCAGTATATATAGAGTATATCAGTATATAGAGCACACGCCAAAAAAAATGTGTAGAAAAACGCCAGCTTCTACTGGTAACATCTAAATTAAATTAATTATACAGTGGTGCCTCGCATAGCGAGGTTAATCCGTTCCGGATTAACCTTCGCTATGCTGAAGCATCGCTGAACGGGGCAGCGATTTCCATTGGAACGCATTAAACATCGTTTAATGCGTCCAAAAAAAATGTGTAGAAAAACGCCAGCTTCTACTGGTAACATCTAAATTAAATTAATTACACTTCCTACACCTCTATGCTTCCTACACCCAGTATAAGAATGGTTGGCATCTGTATATATAGAGCACTGGCAAAAAAAGTGCAGAAAATGGCCAGCTTCTATTGGTAAAAATTTAAATTAAATGAGCTATGCTTCCTTACACCCCTATGCTTCCTGCACACCTTTTTTATTTTGCTGAATTAAGGATTTACAGTATTTAATTGTATACTGGGGCACCTTTGGGCTCTGTTTTGCCCTGGGGAAACTTTGAGAAGGAAGGAGGTTTTATTCACCAAAAATTGCTGACAGCAGTCCCAATCCCACCAGTGACAATCTGGTAGCAAGTTTTGACAGGTAAAAGCCCTCCCCCCTCATCCTGAGGCCATCAAAGGCTCCCCCAGGGCAAAAGAGAGCCCTTGGGAACCTGAAATTTGAGGGGAGGCATATAAGAAGCATTTAAATGAATTGGTTGTTGTGGGTTTT